TAATTTTTACTACTCCTATGTAGTCAGAGTCAATCACCCCTGGATGAATACGCAATCCTTTCAATAAGGTAGATGATCTCCCTATTAACAACCCTACTGTTCCTGGGTCAAGGGGGCCTTGAAAATCAGACTCTATTACTTGTACGCCCATTTGCGGAGTTAGTACGAGTCTGGCGGTGGCACAGAGGTCCAATCCTGCTGAGCCCGCAGTGGCTCTCCGCGGTGCTTGGGATGGCGAAGGGAGGGCCACTGCTCTGGAGGGGAGTCCTGTCTCGGGGTCTCCATCGCCCCATATATTTGAGGGCCCTGGGAGCGTGGGCCCCGCTGGCCGTTTTTTGGAAAGCTGTCAACTGCAATGGGTTGCCCATTTATGTCTTTGACGGACCGACATTCACTGGCCCAGTGTCTTCCCTTTCTGCATTTTGGGCAGAGTCCTGGCTGAACGCGGCGCTGGCTACTTCCTTGTTCCTGTCTACTAACCCCTCCTAGTGGGCAGTTGCGTCTTATATGCCCTCTCTTCCCGCATTTAAAACAAGCATTTGGAGTATTACTCTCTTTTCTCTGGGTAAGCTGAAGGACTGCAGCTGCCAGACCTGCATTGGTCAGAGGTCCTCCTAATTCCCTGCAAGCCTTCATCCAGGCTTCCAACCCCTTGGCCTTATATGGGGTGATGGCAGCCCTGCACTCCGTTGTACATTGCTCATATATTAACTGTTTTATCAGGGGCATTGAGGCATCTGTGTCCCCAAAAATTCTACCAGCAGCCTCTATCAAGCGAGCCACAAAATCTGAAAAGGGCTCCATGGGACCTTGGAGTATCTTGGTCAAATTGCCACTCACTTCACCTTTGTTAGGCAAAGATTTCCAGGCTCTAATGGCTATTTGATTAATTTGAGTATATACATTAGGAGGATAGGTAGTCTGTTGATTGACATATCTGCCCAGACCAAGCAGCATATCAGCATCCCATTGCAGGCCCGTGTTGTGGTTTGCCGCCGCCTGCTCATTAGCAAATTCAATAAAGAAGGCCTTCCAGTCTAAATACTGGCCTGGACTAAGGCAGGCACGGGCAAGATTCATCCAATCTGAGGCAGTCATGCACTGTCTTTGCAGAGTCTCAATCTGAGTAAGTGTAAATGCAGCGGTAACACCATAACTTTTCACAGACTCGGCTATAGACTTGACAAGTTTAAAATCCAAAGGTTCATGATATCTTTGATTCTGATTATCTATAAAAACAGGACAAGCCACCTGCATCTCTCTCCTAACCTCCCTCCACAGCTGTGGGTGGAGGCTGCTGCTGACCGGAGACGCTCCGGGAGCTGCTGTCGCAGCCTCAGGGTAAGGGGGAGGGGCGGAGAGGATTAAGGACCCACAAACCTTTTTTCTTTTGTCTCTCTCTCTCACCTTGTTTTTAATCTTTACTTTTTGTAATGCTCTAACTAGAGACTCTATCTCCTCCGAACCGAGAGAAGAGTCAGTAGATTCGGGGTCTTCAAAGTCCGATAGGGAGGGATAGAGTCGTGTCTCCTTTTTCTTTTGTTGTTTACTGTCCTTGGATTTTACAGATTCCGCCTTTTCAGACCCCGCCTTCTCTGATCGCTCCTCTTGTAACTGCTCTAGGGCGGCTTGTCCGCTTTCCAAAGCATCGCCACAGCGTTGATCCTCTAAGCAGCCACGTACTAATCTCCAAACTGGTCTCACCCCCGGTTTCAGGGTCCCCTGTTCTGCTGCGAAGTCTAAGTCTCGTCCCAATTTTTCCCAGGAGGACACTGTGAGACTCCCAGAAACAGCGAACCATGGGGCCACGACATCGCATTCCTCTAAGAATCTTTGTAAAGTTCCCTTCTTTATCTTTAAGTCTTTAGTTAGAAGCAGCTCATTGAGAGCTATAAAAATTGGGTGTGAGAAGGAAGTGCCCATCCTTGTACAACCCTTTGTTTTTAACCTAAGATATTTCTCGGAGCTTCTGCCAAAAAGCCCCAGTTTACAAGTTCACTTTTGCTCCACGCGTCCGCGGAGATATAACAGCCAAACTAGTTTTGTTTCAATATATACCGTCTGCTTTGGACGCAGCTCTGTGATACCGCTCTCTCTTTATCTACAGAAGAGAGCAAAACCCGCTTTTGTCGCGGTTCCCCAATTAACCCGGGGACTTACCAGGTATACCTACCCTGACAGCAAGAAGTTCTGAGCTCCCTTTCTTCAAAGAGTTTTTTCCCCGTACGGGCCACCAATTGTCGCGTCTGCCTCGACCAGCAAGGAAGACACAACACCGAGCTCTTCTTCAAGCTGTTTTATTCAGGTCCTCTCAAAATCTGTGTCCTTTGTTCTTCTCCCCTAGGGAGAGCCCGCCCAGCCTTATATAGGTCTCAGACCACCAGCCATCATGCGCCACATGGGATTCCTGGATAGGTGCACGTATGCCTTAGCAAGCCGAAATTTAAAGCCAAGCCAAATAAGGAGTTGTTTAACATAGAGAGCACTCGCCATCGGGAGGGCGGGGGGGCGAAAGCCAGAGCCATCTCAAGAATGCAGCTTCACGCAGCTCTCTACAAGAAGTTTCTACTCTTGTTTAAGGTATTATACCTATGCAGCTCATTTAAAAATGTAATGTAAAGTTCAAGTCCTTAAGAGCTATTATTATAAACCATTTAGGATAATTAAGGAACACAGGTTAGTAGCTAGACTTCTATAACAGTTAAACTTGTAGTCATGTTAGGTATGTTTTCAAGGTCATACAAAAATATATTTTAGACAGATAGATGGTTTTCAAACACTTCAAAGACCTATAGTGCTGCGGGCCACAGGAATATATCATAAGAATTCAGCTGGTTATGGCAAAGTCACTACCTGAAGAGATCAAGGAACTCCTTCAGAGGAAGCCAAATTCCAAGGAGCTTTTGGTGTTACTTGGCTTGTTATATATCAGCTGTCTTCTGTTATGAAAATCGTGTGTGCCTTCATAGTTTTCCCAATTGATTTTTCCCTAAGAAGGGCTAACAGTGTGGACTGATCACTCTCTGGACATACACATTCAAGGTATTTGGAGAACAGTCTCAGGAAAGGCTTCCTCTGGAATCAGATATCTCCCTTATCCACTTCCAAAGACTAACAGTAATAACAGTCCACATGCTAGTCTCCTGATTTAAGGCAAATTCCACAAGGAGATACCATCTAGGTCAGGTGGACGTTAAGTAGTAGCTTTACACAATTTAGCTCGGACCCTCCTTTCTTACAGCCTTACTAATTTTATAGACCTTTAACTCCTTACCTAACCACTTCTAGGAATATTTAGATGACTTTCTGTGCTGACAGCTCTGCTCAGCCAGAACCCCAGTTCAAGTCTCCCTGTAATTATCATCATTGGCAGCATCTGGCCAGGTCCATCCCCAGATGGAGAAAAGTACCTTATCAGAGATACCTCTGGTACCCTTTAAGAACAGACTTAAGCATCCAGACTACCCATTTGAGAAGGCCTGGCGGATGTGCCAATTAAGCTTAACTTCCTCCTATCTCAAATCTTACCTCTAGTTCCAGATCTCCCTTTAACTATCACCAGAGGCATCTAGCTGTACACAGGATGCCTAGCGACTGAGCACACTTTCCCCCACCCTGCAGAAAAATGGCAGATAGCTTGGACAGATGGGAGCCAAAGGAGAAAAGAAGACAGTTTTATTTTCTCCCATTGACCTAGCAACTTATAGATTCTTAACATTTTCTTTCTTTTTTTTTTTTTTTTTTTTTTGGGTTTTTCGAGATAGGGTTTCTCTGTGCAGCTTTGCGCCTTTCCTGGATCTCGCTCTATAGACCAGGATGGCCTCGAACTCACAAAGATCTGCCTGCCTCTGCCTCCCAAGTGCTGGGATTAAAGGCATGCGCCACCACCACCCGGCTCTTAACATTTTCTACCAGTCATGTTTAAGACTATAGTTGAGCACATAAGATCCCTCTTCTTAGATATTACCCGAATTTAACCTTTAGTTAATTCATTTCCCCACTGGTCACTTCCCTTTGGGGTTGCAAATGATAATTAACAGTTATTGCCCCTCTGTGTGATTCCTATCACCCCTGCATTTCACCCTGGAAACCTGGCTTTGCACTGCCAAGGGAATACTGCTTGCAAGTGTGTATATACCGGGACTCCCAGGGCACGGGAGAGGAAGAAGAAGATTTGGAAGAATGAATGACTGGACTAAGAGCTTGGTGTGCTGAGATTCTATTTCCCAAAAATAGTCCTCTCCATTCATAGTTCTCTCTCCTGAGCCCCTGGGATGCATACTATTAAGACTGGTCCCTCTATTATACAAGACTACAGAATATGGTATTTAAAATGTTTTTTAACCTAGGGCTTTTCACGACAGTGATGCTCCTGGCAGCACCAATTTACTTCAAAGATGATGGGCATCGAGGAAACTCCTATCGAGTTTGCTTTTAATGTAGCAAGACTAGCCCTTTGAGCAAGAAACTGCTCTTGTCTTGACTGCTGACAGTGTGTTGTACAAACTATATAAACAGGACACAAAGGAAAAAGACTGTTGAACTTTGTCAAAACAAGGCGAGACAGTCCTTCAAAACTCTGCTTCACAGAAGTCTGTCAGAAATTCTAGGCCTGTAGGTTGAAGATGGATGCTCCAAAATTACCGAGGAACCTTAGGTGACTGACTCTCCAGGCAGCCAGATGTCTCTGTCATGTGTAGTTTTGGAAGTGGTTTTCATTGCACTTCCTATTTAATCAGGTAATATTACATATATCCTTCTGGGGTGTTTGATGGAGTCGAAGACTAGGTAGTTGTTGTTTTCCTTAGTCATGATAGAAGGTAAATTAGGTACAGAGCTTTGAATTCACCAAGATAGGATAAATAATGGAGTATTTTCTTTAAATCTGCCAAAAACAAATTGAATGGGCATTGTAAATGTAATACTTACTTGGCAATTTCTTTTTTTTTTTTTGGTTTTTCGAGACAGGGTTTCTGTAGCTGGAGTTTTCCTGCCTGGCCCACAGTCAGGACAAATCTCTCTCACCTGCCAGTCCCACAGCCGCTCAGACCCGACCAAGTAAACACAGAGACTTATACTGGTTACAAATTGTATGGCCGTGGCAGGCTTCTTGCTAACTGTTCTTACAGCTTAAATTAATCCATTTCCATTAATCTATACCTTGCCACATGGCTCGTGGCTTACCGGCATCTTCACATGCTGTTTGTCATCGTGGCGGCTGGCAGTGTCTCTCTGACTCAGCCTTCCACTTCCCAGCTTTATTCTCCTCCTTGTCCTGCCTACACTTCCTGCCTAGCCAGTGGCCAATCAGTGTTTTATTTATTGACTAATTAGCAACACATTTGCCATACAGAACATCCCACAGCAGGTTTCTCTATGTAGCTTTGAAGCCTGTCCTGGAACTCACTCTGTAGCCCAGGCTGGCCTCAAACTCACAGAGATCTGCCTGCCTCTGCCTCCCGAGTGCTGGGATTAAAGGCATGTGTCACCACCGCCCAGCAATTGTTCTTATTGTATATATTTTTACTAAGTTAGAGTTAAAACCTTTCCTTTTTATTTAGGCGAAAAGGGGGAAATGTTGTGGTTTTGTTAATAAGGGGCAGCGTAATCTCTTCTGTAACTGCTTCTTAGTAGAAATTAAGGCTTCACTGTCAGGACTCAGGAAGGCTGGAATGCTTGTCAAAGGCCAGGAAGGGAAGGGAGTTCAGGCTGACAAACATCTCTTTCACTCCTGCCCAGGTTCTGCAGGACCACCAGGTGCCAGGAAGAACAGGCTGCTTTGGAGTAGTCTGGAACTGCTGGTTCAAGAAAGGGTTCAGGCTGGTTGGAAATCCTGTCAGAAGCACCTGTGATTTACATCAGTGTACAGCAAGTCCAGGGCCAGCTGGTTTTTATTTGGAGCAGTTTGCAGTCTTCAGTTGTCTTGCAAATCTGTTTGGACAGATACAAACTAGTGTCAGAAGGTAAAGTTAAGGAACTTAGGGGAAAATATTTATCTTGGGTGTACACTTGAAACTTCCAAGCCTGTGGTCCTGGTAGCTAGGGGTGTGGGAGTAGTCCCAAGACTAGGGGAAGCAGAGAGAGAGAGAGAGAGAGAGAGAGAGAGAGACAGACAGACAGACAGACAGAGACAGAGATAGAGACAGACAGACAGACACAGAGAGACAGAGACAGAGAGACAGAAAGCCCACTCTCAAGAATAGGCAGTAGGTGGGAAGCTTAGACTGTTGGTTGACAGGAGTCTTTATCTGGAACCTGTTTGACCTATGACAGGTGGATTCAAGTCATGACTCCCTGAAGCCGACATGAATTTTTTAAGTTTACAAAAAGGGATAAAAGTTTTAGATATATCAGCATTACCACTGTTCATAATCTATACCGAAATCTACATTATAGAAAATGCAGCAGCCTCATGCGTTTAAAATTGTGAGCTTGTGACTATGATTACCATGGCTAGGTTAATAGCTTATCAGAACTCCATTGATTAATGTTAAAATTCTGAACTTTTGAAGTCTTAGTATAACAAAAGCAAAAGAAGGAAAACAGTCTAAAATATTTCTAATATACCTTAAAGCACTCCCCAGACCTTTATAACTTGCATTTATATGTCTTAAATCACTTTCTTTTCTTTTTTTTTTTTTTTTTTTTTTTTGGTTTTTTGAGACAGGGTTTCTCTGTGTAGCTTTGGGCCTTTCCTGGATCTCGCTCTGTAGACCAGGCTGGCCTCGAACTCACAAAGATCCGCCTGGCTCTGCCTCCCAAGTGCTGGGATTAAAGGCGTGCGCCACCACCACCCCGCTTAAATCACTTTCTTAGGCCCTCATAACTAACTTAAGCTTTTACATCAAGAGACCTTTACAATTTGCATCTACATACCTTAAATTACGTTCTTAGACCCTCACAACTTACATAAACATCAAAGACTTTCTTTTTCCATCCAATAATTTACCATGAGATACCAGTGATTAGCGAGAGCAGTCACTGCAAAGCAAGTTCAGGAATAGTAACAAGTTACATTGAAACCTGTTTTGTGAGTTTATTTCTTTCAGGGTGAAGTCAGCCAGCAAGGTAAACTGTCTTTGAGTCTGATTTTTACATATGAAATGGACTGACCAGGCAGCTGCAGCCTTGTGCGGGGAGCTGGGTGCTTGCTGCTGTTAAACTGATAATTAGCCATCAACATTATCAGAGATCTGAGAAGAATACATTAGAGCAGGAAGTGTAATCCAAATGGCCTCTGTATCAGTTAAAATGACAGAGACTTACCCACTACCTGGATAGTTACCCTGGGTTCCCCTGTGGCACACAGGAGGAACTTGAGAAAAGTGACCTATCTTGGGGAGACAGAGGGAGCTATCAATCTAACACTGGCCACAGTTTGGGCAGGACCCTGATGGTGTGTGAGGCATGGAACAGTTCTTTGCCCAGTGGTTAGTGTTACTTACCACAATCCAGGCATAGTCATCTGTGCCCCATCTTCTTCTTTGGAGACCTTAGGGTCAATACTAATAGCTGGCACTTCTGTCTATCATAGGGTTGTTTTTTTTTTTTTTCATTAAACACTTTAAATGCCATATTCAGCAGATCTCTGAGGAGTTCTAATTTTAATCAAACTTTGCTTTTAGTTACTTGCTATAGGCTTAATCTTGAAAACATGTACAGGAGGCTAAATAAAGCTTGCCCCTGTAAATGAATTACATTTGTACTTAGCATGACTATGAGCATAGTTCTGAGCACATTAAATAATTTGATCCCTTACAAGGTGACTGAGCATTAACTTACATGTTTTAATCATCTTTAACAGTTTACAACAAGTTAGTAGCTTATACAAGATTAGGGTTTTACAATTTTATCCCTGTTAAGTTTGGGCCTTAAAACTTTGAATTGAAGATTTAATTGAAGATCCTTTAGCATCCAAATAAAATTTTAAACCATAAATACAGTCACAAAGACAAAGAGGCTAGACATATATCTTCAAGTCAGTTTCTGGTAGCCTGAATAGACCTTAGGAATTTAAAAATCGTACTTATCAAATATACCTTATTTACCAAAAATATGTTGTTCCCTATTTAAAAGTTTCTAGAAGCCTGGTGTGAACACAGAAAATACATAGGTAGTTAGACATAAATCTCTATGTCAGCTTTTGTTAATCTGAACAGACTGTTATAACTTAAGAATTTATAAACCTTATTTATCAAATATTCCTAATTCATCAAGCATAGATTGTAGTTATCTAAAATTTTCTAGAAACCTGGTGTTGAGCAGTTAGTACAGACATAAGTAGTTAGACATCTTTAAGTCAGTTTCTGTTAACCTGAATATACCTCTATAACCTAAGGAATTTGGCTACCTGCTGTTGTCTCCTTAGCCTAGAAAGGAGATACAATGGTAAGCAGAGGACTCAGTGGGACTAAGAAGTTTTATGATTGTTGCCTTAGTTGGTTTAAACTACATGGTTATCTTAATCGAGACGGTGGCAAAGTTACATGTACCCTTTAGCCTTTGCAATAATGGCTGCCGGTCATTACTGCTTCCTTTCCAAACAGGTCATCAGCCAAAGATGGAGGCAAGCCACATAGTTGAAAAATATGTTTAAAATTTTCTTTTTGGATTTTCAAGACAGGGTTTCTCTGTATAGCCCTGGCTATGTAGACCAGGCTGGCCTCGAACTCACAGAGATCTGTCTGCCTCTGCCTCCCAAGTCCTGGGATTAAAAGCATGCACAGCCGGGCGGTGGTGGCGCACGCCTTTAATCCCAGCACTCGGGAGGCAGAGCCAGGCGGATCTCTGTGAGTTCGAGGCCAGCCTGGGCTACCAAGTGAGTTCCAGAAAAGGCGCAAAACTACACAGAAAAACCCTGTCTCGAAAAACAAAACAAAAAAAAAAAAAAAAAAAAAGCATGCACAACCACCACTCAGCCATAGTTGCTATTTAAAAATATCTCTTTTTCTAAACAAGAGTTTAATTCCAGTTACATATTCAGATACAGTATGCTATAGCAGATCTTTCTTTCTTTCTTTTTTTTTTTTTTTTGAGACAGGGTTTCTCTATGTAGCTTTGTGCCTTTCCTGGAACTCACTCTGTAGCCCAGGCTGGCCTCAAACTCACAGAGATCCACCTGCCTCTGCCTCCCGAGTGCTGGGATTAAAGGTGTGTGCCACCACGCCGGGCAGCAGATCTATCTTTCTAAACAAGAGTTGAATCACATATATAATATGCTGTACCTAACTAAGATTACCTATCAGCCTTTTGTTATATGTTTTAAGTTAACTTTTTATTATAGATTTTGCAATTTTTTTTGTTTTGTTTTGTTTTCCAAGACAGAGTTTCTCTGTGTAGCTTTTGGAGCCTGTCCTGGAACTCACTTTGTAGACCAGGCTGGCCTCGAACTCACAGAGATTCACCTGCCTCTGGCTCCTGGGTGCTGGGATTAAAGGTGCACCACCACCACCTGGCAGATTTTGCAAATTTTTAACCATACCTAAAGTACTTACAAATTCTGAGATGCAGTTTACACAATAGTCTTAAGAGATTTTCTTTGAGAGCAGAGAACAAAGAAATCATAGAGACAGAAGATTTTCAAAAGTAGGAAAAGTTTTGAGAAAAGAGAGTTTAGGAAGTGGGCAGCAGAGGAAGTTTAGGTATAAGAGACTTGGGGATCCTTTTGTTTGCACAGTGGCAGAAGTTGTTCCCACATCAGAGAATTTAGAGATCAAGTGTGCCATTTTTGTGACCCGTACTGAGGCCAAGCCATTTACCGTAAGACAGTAAGGCTTTAAAGAAATGTCTGAGTCCGAGGAGGAAAAGAGGAAGGGGTCAGAGGCCAGATCTCCGCCAGAGGGAAGGTTCCAAGAGGGAGCTGAGCTACAGACACAGGGTCGAAAGCAGGAACTCCATCCAAGGGAGGGTTCCAATACTGCAGAGGCCCAGGAGGATGGAAAGAAGAGTCAGAGCACGCAGCTCTGAAGGGGAGGTGAGGAAAGGGCTGCAAACAGTAACTCCAACTGAAGGAGGAGCCCAACACCCTGGAGGCCCAGAAGGGTAGAAGGAAGCTGCGGGGTTTCCAGGAGGGAGCTGAGAGATAGAAAAGACCAGGGCAGAAGAGAGAAGGGTAAGTGTCTTGGTGACAAGAATTTCAATCCAGGGCACCCCCAAGGGGACTGAGAGATCTGTCAGAGAGAAATATCCCGAATCATAGAGGAGAGGCATCCCTTTCCACGTGATGGGCCCTGGAGGGCGAGAGGAAGCTTCCTGGCACACTGGTGTGACTTTTACAGTAACAGTAGACAAAGCAGGAAGCTCCAGGGAGACGCTTACCCGGTAGAGGAGGGAAGGTGAGTGGGTAGAGCAGGCAGGGGAGAAAGCAGCTGAAGAGGCAGCCTGGGGAGAGGGAGGGTTCCAACAGAGGAAGAGGGGCAGCTCTCTTAGCAGTGAGATGCCCATGTGGTGGGTACCCAAGAGGGCATAGCAGGCCCCAGGAACCAGAGAGACTGAGAAGAAACTCACCAAGGCGAGGAGAGACAAATGGTTAGAGTAAGTGGAAGGAAGCAGGGGCGGAAGAGGTGGACTCCAGAACAGGAGTCCACTCTGGGGGGTAGCAGAAGCCAGCAGAAACAAGCCACCCACACCTACATGCCTTAGGAAAGTCAAATCAGCAGTCTGCTTCAATTAGGAGAGGCTAAGCCCCTTGGAAGGGGCTCACCTATGCTCCTCCCAGGCTTCAGGCTCCAGATGTAGTATAAAGTGAGGACATGTCCGCTCCAATAATGGTTAGGGGGAAGGTTTTTATTGCAGACATGAAGGAGACTACAGCTAGAGGCATCTGGAAGAGTCCAGAGCAGAGAAAGTAGTAGACTAAACATGGCCAGCAGACTGCATCAGGCCATGAGAAGAAGGGGTGGGGAGGGGAGCAGGGAGGAGGGGGCGAGAGAGGAAGAGAAGAAAGGATCTCTTAAGAAAGAGGGGGCCAGAGGATGCCCAGAGAGGGAGAACCAGGAAGGCACATGGCTGAAATGGCAGGGTTATATAGGAATGAGAAGCTGGGGAAAGGGGAGCCCACGAGCTGGAGAAGTTTAGGGCAGGGGGTGTAGTGAGAAGAGCCACAGGTACTGAGTGGGTCTGGAGGCCAGCATGTTCTTTGGTATGCTCATAGGCACCATGGTTAGCCATTTGTTCTGACCTTCTTTGGACTCAGACACCATGGACATGCCTTCAGCTAATTTGTCACTTGGACATCTACAGGACCGTTGTTTTTTCAGGCAACAGCAGACAGCAATAACAATGACTGGAAAAACAAGTAGTAGTAGTAGTAGGAATAGCCAATTTCTGTGATCTGAAAGTGGGAAAAACAAGAAATATTTTGGTCAAGTCAAGAACAGACATTTTTTTTTTTTTTCTGGCAGTCTATGATGAAGGACAGATGGCAAAGCCAACGGTCTTCTTCCTGGCATGGCAGAGGCCTGATGACAGGCCCAGCACAGGGAGAACTGGGTCTTTTTTTTTTTTTTTTTTTTGGTCAACTTGACATTAAGTTAGGGCAACCTAGGAAGAGGGAACCTCGGCTGGGAAAATGCCTATACCAGATTGCCTGTAGGCAAGTCTGTGGGGGCATTTTCTTGATTGCTAATCAAGAGAGGAGGCCCCACTGTGGGCAGTGCCACTCCTGAGCAGTCTATGAAAGCCAACTGAGCAAGCCACGGGGAGCAAGCCATGGAGCATTTCTTCATGGCCTCTGCTTCAGTTCCTGCCTCTAGGTGCCCGCTTGAGTTCCTGCCCACATCCTTTCATGATGGACTGTAAGCTGTAAGCAAGTTAAAAAATAAGTCCTTTGCTCATTAAGTTGCTTTCGGCCAGCATTTTATCTCAGTGATGCAAAGCAGACTAACAAAAGCAGGAAGGGAGGCCGCCATACTGGCGCTCCTGAGAACAGAAAGGACTGGCCTTGTGTTCCAACAGGAAGGAGACATCCTCGTTCCCAAGAGTTAGTTGACTATTATACAATTTGGTAAAACACACATCACACAAAACTTAATATCTCACCACTTTCAGAACATCTGAGGTGTTTTTCACGGCTGTGCAGCCATCTCCACACCAGTCTCTAGGATTTTCTGATCTTCCCTCACTGACCTCTGCCCCCAGTGGACACTAACTTCCCAGCCTTGCTCCCAGACTGTGGTTCCCAATGTTCTCTACTTCACCTCTGTCAGCTTGTTGCTCCAGGACTGCCCAGGTACAACCACACTGGCCGTTAGGGCCAGGCTTATTTCACTTAGCACACTGTCTTCAAGGCTTATTATACTGCTGTGTCAGAGTGTCTGTCCTTTTCAAGAGAAAATGCTATTCCATTGAATATACTTTCCCCCTTTGGCTGTTGACACTCACAGCTGTGCAGTGCTAGAATTATAGGCCAGGGCCAGTGTGTGCTAGTTGAATTTTACTGTATCTTTTTGGAGTACTGGGGATTGAATTTAGGGCTTCATGCATGCTAGGAAAATGCTCTACTTCATGCATGCTAGGAAAATGCTCTACCACTGAGCTTCAGCCAAGTCCTAATTTTTGCACATTGTTAAATAAGGATCCAGCTTCATTCTTTCGCACATGTATGTTCTTTTGCCAGCATTATTTGTTGAAGAGGCTGCCTTTTCCTTACTCAATGTTCAGCTCAAGGGTCCACTTATTGTAAAGGATTGTTTAAAATTCCATTAACACATGAATGAAGACACATGTGGGTTGTACATAATGATTCAGTCATGAAAAAAAAATGAGGCCCTGATAGCTTCAACCTAGATCAGCCTTAAAATATGATGCCCAGGGGCTGGAGAGATGGATCAGTGGTTAAGAGCACTGACTGCTCTTTTAGAGGACCCAGGTTCAATTCCTGGCACCCACATGGCAGCTCACAACTGTGTGTAACTCCAGTTCCAGGGGAATCTGACACCTTCATACTAATGCAAGTTAAATAAATTATTAAAAAACACCATGATGCTCAGGTGGCTGGAGAGATGGTTCAGTCATTAAGAGCACTGGCTGCTCTTGCAGAGGACCCAGGTTCAGTTCCCAGCATGCACATGGTGATTCTCAACCATCTGTAACTCCAATCCCAGGGAATCTGTCACCTCTTGTATATATACAGTGCACAAACATACATGCAGCAAAACACCTATACACGTAAAATATTTTACAAGGAAACATGATGCTCAGGGATCCAGACACAGAAGCTACACGTGGTGACTCTACATCTTTGAACAATATGAACAGGACAGGCCACTAAAGCAGACTGGCCTGGGAGGGTCAGGGTCTGACAGAGACAGAGATTCCATTTAGGGGGACATGTATTTTGCAACAGATGGAGGGCTGGTATTCAGTGTTATTTTGATGTCTACTTTGAAACAGTTAATGCTGTGTGTGGTATGTAAATTTTCATTCAATAAGAAGATAGCCATAGTGTTTAAAAATACATCTGTCTTACTTGTTGTAGTCTGACCGCACACCGTGTTCGCTGTGGAGTTGCATGCCTGGAGGACGGGGATTCCCTGAGGACACCTGGAAAGAGACACCCTCAGTTCTTTCTGCCAATCAATGGCAGAGGATGCCCAGAAAGGCTTGATACCACCTCCAAACCACATCAGGCAGCATCATGATCCAAGATCTGCAACAGGGCTCTGGCCATACAGTTCTTACCAGCTCCACTGGCATCTCAGACACTATTGTGTGATTCTCACTAAATAGACAAAATTTACTACATTTCCCTTCTCCATTGATGTCCATAGCCTCTTTGGTGGCCTTGGAGTGAGAAAAAGGAGGCCTGTCCTGCTGTTATCAGGGAGTCAGATTTCACAGTCCCCAGAGCAACAATACTCCCCAGGCCTGCGGCTTGTGCTGACACCCCCTAGTGGTTTGAATATGCAACAACTCCATCTAACACCTGACAGGAGCGAATTCATCTTATCGAGGGGGGAAAAACACAGAATTTTCCTAAAACCTTGTCCTGAAGTCTTTTCCCATACGGTTTAACTCAGATCTACCTTCCTGGGAATGAACGAGGCTTTCGCCAGCCCTCCCAAATCCTGTTACACTGAAGAAACCTCCTGGAAGATATCACTCAGAAAAACTGGGTCCCCTGGCAGGGATATCTACTTTCTCTCAAGGGGCACCAGACTTGGAGATGTCTAGCAATAAGTTCTGCACCATCCAGGCCACAGAGTCCCCACCCCACATTACCCCCTGACAAAGAATGACACAGACTGTCCCCTTCTCTGGACATTAGAGGCCACTCAAACAATGTATAAAGCCACCACCGACCCATGCCACAATGTTCTTACTTGGTACATGGGCGGCAGACTTCATAGGATTTTGGGTCAGAATAGAAATGACCCACTTGGCACTGGCATTTCCGGTCACTGGTGGCAGAGCATTCAGCCACCATTTCCTGGCCTGCAATCCAAGGAAGAGCAGGGTTAGGTCAAGATGAGCATCCTCAAATATGCACATAGACCCCACCATCATTTGAGAGGAAGAGCCTGTCCCAGTACAAGCTTTACCAGCCATCACAGATGTACTGAACACTAAACAGTACTAACTACTATGAACATTCGATCACCCTCAGGCCTCCAGAGTGGTACCCAGACCTGAGGTAGGTGATGGCTTGGGAGATTCATTGTTCAGCATCCCATACAACAGCATCAAACTACCCCGAGGCCTCCATCACAGGTGGTCCTGACCTGTACGTCCACTGCTGCCCCACAAAGTTCCCCTCCCCGAGGCCACCATCTCCAGACATCTCTGACTTGCCTCATTCTTTGCTGAAGAGCTAGTGACCATGTGTCTGGATCGCTGGTGGGACTTTGCACCTCTCTTAACTGAGACTGACTCAGTGGCTTATGAGAGAAGATGATTTTCCCACTTGAGGTGTTCCTGTTCTATAGTTCAGTGCACCACAAACAGTCAGCTGAATGTCAACCCCTCACTGTTAGGGATCTCCAGCTTGGGGCCCCACTCCAAACCCCACCCTCAGCACGCCAAGCATCGTCTCCTCCCCTGGAGCTCCTCAAGGCCACCTACAGGGTATTTAAGGTCCGGCTCATAGACTTGCCTCGAGGTTTCCCCCCTTTCTTGAGACCCCCCCCCCCAGGATTGCTTTGCTCAGATGAAAACCTGGACTTTAATTTGGACTGATTGAATGTATTGCACCAGCGGAGAAACCCAATATCGGGGTACAGAAACCTTTCACTCACAGTGCTCTGAAGCTAGACCGTGTCCATTCTCAGAGTACAGCAGTGGGCATAGGCAAGGAGGACTCCCAGCCCGGCTCTCTGCAGATGTCTTACAGCATCAGGGGATCTGTGATTGTGGAATATGGTTCTGTCTTTTGTTTCTTTGTTTGAGATAATATTTCTCTATGTAGTCCTAGCTAGCCTAGAACTCCACAGATGAGGCTGGCCACACTGAAGTGACATTTTTATCTGTCTCTGCCTCCTGAGCTCTGGGATCAGAGACATGTGTGCCACGATGCTCAGCCTGCCTCCGTCTTTATGCTTAGGAGAAGCATATGACAGTGCTGAGGCACAGGATATTGTGGTATTTGTCATTTAGTTTAACAACATCAGTGACACAGGAGTGTATATACATACATATGCACATGCACACACAAAGCAGAATTTCTTTTTCCATAATGTCAGGGAACAAAACCCAGGTCTTTTGCATACTAGGCAAACACTCTCTCACTGAGCTGCAACCCCGGCCCCAGCAATTGCTTCAAGTTTGTTTGTTTGTTTGTTGAGACAGAGTCTCGCTACGTAGCTCTGGCTGTCTTCAAACTCCTTATGTAGGCCAGGCTGGCCTTGAACTCCCAGAGATCTGCCTCCAGAGTGGGAGGATTAAAAGCATCTATGTCATCACGCCCCGCCTGCTTCAAGTTTTTGGAAAACTGATGTTATTACATACATTTCCGTATCCTCTCAGTGACTCCTGCAGGCCTATGCCTCTTCTCTCAGCAGCCTCCCCAGATCCCCACACCCGCTGCTCTGCTCTGGAAGCTCTTGTTTGGGAACTTGCACACATGGCTGCCTATCCTTGGAGGGGCGATTTTTCTCATTACCTGCATGTGTTTTACTGGGTTCTGCATTCAATTGACAATTAGGAGAAAAATATCTAAACAAGGGGGAAGGCTGTCTTTGCGATTGTGATTTTTCTGACACGGTTCTTACTCTGAGTCCCTCTCACCCATAAGGAATAATTTTTGCTTTGGTTTGGTTTTGAGGCAGGGTCTCACTGTGTAGCCTTTGCTGCCCCAGAACTCACTATGTAAACAGGCTGGCCTTGAACTCCGAGATCAGCGGCTTCTGCCTCCTATGTGCTGGGATTAAATATTGCAATAACCATGCCCAGCTATAAGAAACAAATTTTAGTGGGACTCGCCAGATGCATCCTGGCATCCATCAGTCATGGCTACTCCATCCCAGTACTGGACTAACACTAGCGTGTTTCTGACTCTTTTGGCAGTTTTCAAAGACACACAGTGCTAGTCCAGTCTCTGCTCAGTCACATACTCACGTTCGTCACAGCTGGAGCACGGTATACAAGACTCTAGGCCATTACTAGCCCTTGTGAACGTTCCGGGGTGACACTTCTCACACTGTCCGAGGGTGTGGGAGATTGTGCAGGACGTCTTGACAAACTCACCTGTGGATAAGGCAGACAGGGATCAGCTTGCTCCAGGCACCCAGGGGTAAGGGGCTAGGTTGCTCCAGGTGGGCTTATGTCTTTAGCACAAATTCTACATAATCTCTGTCACAAACTGCTTGAGGATTTGCAAGGGCTGCTGGATCCCTGAGCTGCACTCCTTCCTGTGGCTATCTGGCCCTCCTGGGTCTAGGAAGCCAGAGAACCAGTAGTGAATAGAATGGGCTCCTCCTCCTCCTGCAGGGCTCAGCTTCTATGTCAAAAGTAACTGACTCCTGCCCTTCAAGCCCCATGTTCTTCTCTTTGAGTGGCAGTCCCAGTGTTCTGAGAAGCACTTGAGACCCTGGTGAAGTCAGGTCACCTCATTTACTGCCTCACAAACATGTCACTTAACAAGAACTTTCTTCCTCAGGCCTCTTTCTGTCGTTATTGGTGGTGTTGATACAGTATGGCTCAAGTTGGCCAGGAATTCATAGCAATCCTCCTGAGTGCAGGGATTATAGGTTTACGATACCATGCTTAGCTTCTTTCTTTCTTTCTTTCTTTCTTTCTTTCTTTCTTTCTTTCTTTCTTTCTTTCTTTCTTTCTTTCTTTCTTTCTACTTGTGTGTGTGTGTGTGTGTGTGTGTGTGTGTGAAAGCCTCAGTCAATAGTCCTGGCTGGCCTGGAACTCACAGCAATCCCATTGCCTCAGTTTCTCAATGCCGGGATTACAGGTGTGAACCACCATGCTCAATGTCTTACGCCTTTCCTAAAGGCAGGACAGTTCTTCGTCCTGGCAGGTTCTCCTGGAACCATTTTGTATCCTTCCTTGGTTCAGGCTCTCTGATACCAACTTGGAAGTGTTCAGGTAGCCCTGGGAATTTCCTTTCCTATTAATTGTAAAGGAAACTATAAACTACTAACTATGGAGGAAAGGACCAAGTCCAGCAAACATGTTACTCTCATGTATTCTCCGAAGGACAGCTGCAGACATGACCAGGTGGCAGACATGCAGAGTCCATTGGAGAAGAGAGACTAGTGGAGTGAGACTGAGTCAAGCCTAGTGGACAGCTAGCTGAGTCTCGGTGTTTGGTTCTTGTATCTATTTGGACATCAATAATTTTTCATTTACGGTAGTTGATTTTTTTTTTTGTTTGTTTTTCGAGACAGAGTTTCTCTGTGTAGCTTTGGCGTCTGTCCTGGAACACACTCTGTAGACCAGGCTGGCCTCGAACTCACAGAGATCTGCCTGCCTCTGCCTCCTGAGTGCTGGGATTAAAGGCATGCACCACCACCACCTGGTTCGATGGTTGTTGTTTTTAAGATTTATTTTTTATTGTTTGTCTGTCTGTCTGTCTGTGTACACAAGTATGTGCAGGTGCCCAAAGAGAGCAAAGAGGGCAACAGATCCTCTGGAGCTGGAGTCAGGTGGTTGTGAGAAGCCTGATGTGGGTACTGGGAAACAAACTCCTGTCCCCTGAGAGAGCAACAAGCTTTCTTAACTGCTAAGTCATCCTTCCAGCCCTGTTTCCTTTTTGAAACTATCTTGAAATGGGAAAGTGAGTGACCATAAAGAATGTTAAAGTCAAGCTCTAAATTTTGGGACTGAGGGTGACATGAGCTGCCAGTTTGGGGTGACAGAGTACAGTGCCCTGTAGCGCCTGCCCCTCTCTGCAGCATCGGCTTCAAACCTGATTGTCTACTGGTATTAGGGAGATGACCTTCTCCTGAAGGAATGTCAGGAGGGAGCAGGGGACAGGCTGACACTGACAGACTGGCGAGGGCTGCCATGGTGTGCTTCATGGGACCCAGTCTGGACAGACAGGCAAGGGCTGGTGTGCATCTTTACTACTCCTCTGTACTTCTCCAGAGGAGCCCCTCAGCACTGCTCCAGGGGGAAGCCGGGGGAACCGAGGTTTACAGCTGGAAGTAGCTTCACTCTGGCCCCACATGGCTCTGCCTACACTGAACACAAAAGTGCTCAGTTCTCTAACAGCTGGGAATTGGACTTTGCAAGGAGACTTCTCCTACGCACAGGAGCCTAAAGAACAGTAAGCTAAATGATTTATCTTGGGTGACAGAGTGGGGGATTGGTGGGCCATGGGTCCAGGACAGCTTCACTTCAGTGGGCTTGGGTGTCTCATGGGAAGGGCCTGTTAAGAGAGCCTTCATTCACCATGGGGCATGGTGTGATTTCTCGTACATTTGTGTTGACAGACTAGGGCCTTGGGCTACCCCAAGTATCTGCAGCCCACTCTGTGTGCCCACATGAGTTGTGAAGACCCTATGACTGCTTGGTGAACTGCCCTGCCATGAGGGACGGCAGAGGGGCTCCCGGCACCTGTCGCAAATACAGGTAGGCAATATTAATCCTCCCGGCTCCCTTTTCTGAACTCTCCTCTCAGCTGGGTGCCACAGCTCATGCCTCCAAGGGTGGATAGGTGGGTGAGCTTCCACTAGTGAGGCCTTGGTAGAAGTATTCATACCAACTCTCTTGAACACAGAAAGGGACGCCTTTGGGGGGGGTCTGTGTACCTGGGCTAGGAGGTACTTCCTAGAGTCTGAGCCAGTAGGTAGTGGCTGAGGTGGACTCACTGCTCCACACCCTCCTCATCTCGTACAGCCTCTGGTGTGGGGCTGCCCATGTCTATGCTCTGGCACTGGGTCCCATTGTGGAACTCACCTGCCCTACAGTTCTTGCAGCAGTAGTCCCCAGACCAGTACTCATCAGGGCCGCAGTTGGAGAGGTCCTCACTCTGTCTGGAGAGTAGTGCTGGCATAGCAATTAGCGGGAGCTAGAGAAGGACAAGGGGCAGCTTACATTTATTGGTAACTGCAGAGCACGGTCGGATGCTGGTGGAAAAGGAAGTACCAAGAAAAGGAGCCTCCTTGTGGGGAGCACATGGCCAGCAGGGCAGGGACTATCTGACGCTGGGGCCTGCAATTTTCTGCAGAAGGGTGCCCAGCAGAGCACGGCGAAGTTGGGTGGCTCTCTGCTGTTTGTACAGCAGTATTTCCCCGGTTCTCTTCCAGCAGTCAGCAGGGAATGTTCTAGTGCAACTTGTGACCTACTCGGACCCTGTCATCCACACATCAGGCTTTCATGGCTGCTTCCCATAGTGCAGCTGCAGACGGAGGCGCCAGTTGGAGCAACTTGCAAGGGGGTAAAAGATCCAGAGCTCTGCTTTGTGGTTTTGTTTTTTTCCCACCTGTGTGGCCCTGGCTGTCCTGGTACCCACTATGTAGACCAGGCTGGCCTCCATTTCACAGAGATCCACCTGCCTCTGCCTCCAGAGTGCTGGGACTGAAGGTGTGGGCTACCATTGTCCTGCTTTTTTTTTTTAATTCACCTTAACATATTATTTCTCCAAGTATCCAAAAGTTTTAAATGTTTTTCTTGGGCTGGAGGGAGATGGCAGTCAAAAGCATATGCTGGCTAGGCACAGTGGCATATACTTTTAATCCCGGCATTTTGGAGGCAGAGGCAGGCTAGTCTCTGTGAGTTCCAGAATAGTCAGGGTTCTATATGTAGAGAGACCTTGTCTTAAAAACAAAAAGAAAAAAAAAAAGGCTTGATGTGGTGGTCATTGGTTGGAGATTGAAAGGACATCATCCATGGAGCTGTGATATCACACAGGCCTATAAATCCAGAGTCTGTAAATTAATAGGTGACTCACACTGGAAAAACTATTTACCCTTGTCATGTCTCGCTTTTCTCATCTGTAGAATGAGGATAGTAATATACTTACTTAGGGTTGCGAGATTAAATAACGCATGTGGAACAGTTGGTATGTTCCCAGCACGTCCTCTCTCCTCCCTGCTTCCCGCTCTAAGTGACCTGCCTTGATCTATAGCCTAAACGTAAGGGGCTCAAACTAAGAATACAGATCCCTCAAACTCTCTACCAAGGGAAGCACCAAGCTGAGGCCCCTCTTCTTTCTGTTTGCATTCGCATGGCACACACTCTTGAAATTCCCCACAGCCGCAGCCCTCAGGACCCATCTACACATTCGTGGGAGCTGTCCTCTCTCACACCCCGACTCACTCGGCTCTATTTCACTGCTAGCTCCTCCTCACGATCGTCATCTTCCTCTGGTTCAGAGCTCCCGCCCTCAGTGTTTCTTCAATAGGCGAGAGAACCTCCTTGGCGGCAGGATTTCCTGGTTCATAGGTTAGGATCATACGGCATAATTTTTTTTTCCTTCTGGTAGTCTTGGCCCATTTATCATTTGTCAGGAATTCTGCCATTTACTCGGGTCAGGCAGGAGTCTTTTCAGGGTTCCTAGCTGGTCACCTTGCTGCCATCTTTACTGTCACGACCTGTGGAATCTGGCAGCTCTTCATACATGCCCTGAAGGCAACACTCACTATTTTTCCCCTGCCTCGCAAGGACTGAATGCTGGCCTGCTACACCTGTACTTTCTCTTGGGAGAACGACAGCCACAGGCCAGACGGTGGAAAATAAAGATATCTTTATTTTCAGCCAGGTGGTGGTGGCGTTCCATGCCTTTAATCCCAGCACTCGAGAGGCAGAGACAGGCAGATCTCTGTGAGTTCGAGGCCAGCCTGGTCTACAGTGAGCTCCAGGGCACCCAAGGCTACTCCGAGAAACCCTGACTAGAAAATAAATAAATAAATAAATCTTTATTTTCAGCATTCTTTGAGGATGGTCTGTTTTTTTGTGTTCTTTAAAGAGATGTTATCTTCAATCTTTTATTTTTATTTTGACTTTTACAAGACAGGGTCTCACTACACAGCTCTGGCTGTTCTGGAACTCACTATGTAGACCAGGCTGGCCTCGAACTCACAGAAATCTGCCTGTCTCTGTTTCCTCAGTGCTGGGGTTAAAGGTGTGGGCTGCTACGCCCAGCTCATCTTCAATCTTAAATTGAAGCACCTTCTTTTTTTTGACAGTATTTGAGTCAATCATTACTTTTTCTTTACAACTTTCTTTAACAACATTGTCTATCTAGATTGTTTCTGGGGGTTTCTGGAATACAAAATGCAGATGGAATACAAAATCCGGAGATGCCTCAGCAGGCGTGTAGCTCCAGAGCCCCAACCTGGAGGGGCAGAGAAGTTTGCTGAGGTTAAGAGCCACCCCATGTGAGGTCTGGGTCTTGCCCTCATGGGGAAGTTCAGATCTAGTCTCAAAGAGCTGGGAATTTTTTTTTTTTTTTTTTTTTTTTTTTTTTTTTTTTTTTTTTTTTTTTTGGTTTTTCGAGACAGGGTTTCTCTGTGTAGCTTTGCGCCTTTCCTGGAACTCACTTGGTAGCCCAGGCTGGCCTCGAACTCACAGCGATCCGCCTGGCTCTGCCTCCCGAGTGCTGGGATTAAAGGCGTGCGCCACCACCGCCCATACCACCCTGAACGCGCCCGATCTCGTCTGATCTCGGAAGCTAAGCAGGGTCGGGCCTGGTTAGTAGTTGGATGAGAGCTGGGAATTTTATGTCACCTCTGAGTCACCACTGTTGCATGTCGGCTGGCAGCCTGTGGAGGAGATCCCGGCTCATTGGTCCAGGGCGGCGGGAGCTGCCCAGCAACAGCCAGTAAAGAAGTACTCTTAACCAAGGAAGTATTTCTCTAGCCCCCCGGTTATTTTAAAAAGCGCTGATTGCATGTAAATGGTCTCTGACTGCTCAAATAGTATCTTAGAACAACCTAAGGATTATTTTTTGTTGTTGTTACTACTAAAGATCTAAATGTGTCACACAAACGCTATACCCTAATGGGTTTATAAAACATAAATCTTTTCCTGCTTGACAGGGTTTCTTTGTGTAGCCTTGACTGTGTGGCTGTCCTGGAACTCACTCTGTTGTCCAGACTGGCCTCTAACTCACAGAAATATGCCTGCCTCCGCCTCCTGAGTGCTGGGATTAAAGGCATGTGCCATCACTGCCTGGCTGTTTGGTTTTGAAGACAGGATATTACTATGTAACCTCAGCTGGGTTGGAATACTGTTATAGAGACCAGGCTTGAACTTAAAACTGTGGCAATCCTGCCTCTGTCTTCCGAGTGCTGAGATTACAGGTGTGTGACACTAAACCAGCCTTAAGAGAATTCTCATGAGAAAAAGATGGACATTAAATTGGCTGTAACCGAAAGGTTATTTACAGGGTTGTCCAGGTTTTTTGTTTGTTTTTCAGAGTCTTACTGTGTGTAGCTCTGGCTGGCCTGGAGCTCTATATGTAGATCAGGCTGCCCACCTAATTTAAATTTAACTGCAGTTCACTATTAAAGTGACAATGAGAGATCTTGGGACAGAGATCAGAGAGGCCCACGAAAGGCAGTAGGCAGTCATTCCTTCTACATGCTCCTTTTGTAGTAGTTAGCTAGCATATCTGGGGACCAGCCTGGCCGGACCCACCGAGGAGCACACACGACTAAGCGCTAGTCTGCATCCGCCCCTGTGCGCGCCTGCAGGCGGAAAAAAAAAAGCCCAGGCGAAGAAATTCATGTGCGTTTATGAGCGCTTCTCCTAGCGCTCAGGGATACCCTTCTCTAGTCTGTGAACGTGGCTACTTCCCTGACTCTGCCCCAACCCCCTACCCCACCCCCGACTCCCAACCGAGTAAGAGTAGGCTCCGCGGTGTAGGCTGTGCCCGGGCTGATGCGGGCGCCCCACACAGCCCGCTCCGCCGAGATGCCTGTAGGCTGTGCCCGGGCTGATCCCGGCGCCCCACAACCCGCTCCGCCGAGGTGCCCGTACGCGGTGCCCGGGCTGATCCCGGCGCCCACACAGCCCGCTCCGCCGAGGTGCCTGTAGGTTGTGCCCCGGCTGATCCCGGCGCCCCACAACCCGCTCCGCCGAGGTGCCGGTAGGCTGTGCCCGGGCTGATCCCGGCGCCCCACACAGCCCGCTCCGCCGAGGTGCCGGTAGGCTGTGCCCCGGCTGATCCCGGCGCCCCACACAGCCCGCTCCGCCGAGGTGCCCGTACGCTGTGCCCTGGCTGATCCCGGCGCCCCACACAGCTATAGTTTTCCCCTGCAGCCCAGAGGCCGGGTGCCAGGACCAGGGGTCTTAGCTCCGAGCCCTACTCACCTGCACCAGCAGATACAACTGTAAACAACGAGTTGCAATCTTTATAAAAGACAGACAGAGGCAGATTGTAAACGTTACTCAAAAGCAGCAACAGAGAGAGAGAGAGAGAGAGAGAGAGAGAGAGAGAGAGAGAGAGAGAGAGAGAGAGAGAGAGAGAGAGAGAGAGAGAGAAGGTGGAAACCACACCAATACAGCCGTCCCACTCAGCTCAACACAGGAGGCAGAAAACTTGACATTTTTGCTGTCTCTCTTCCAAACGAGAAGTCTGAAGTAATTCCACCCCTGTCGCATTCCCATGAGTGGTCACCAGTCAGTGGTCTGGAGAGGCAGCTGAAAGCTTCTCTATCAGGGTTTGGGGGGCTATGTGAGACCTGCTAACTCTGCTGACCCCCAAGGGAGGCCTGGGTCTCCACCCTGTATCGGCTTTCCCAGGCCTGTGAGTGAATCCCTCAACTACTCTTCCCATTGACTGTGTTTAGCTCCTCATGTGCCAATCCAAGCTCCTGGGACACGACATTTAAGGAAAGTCTCCTAGCCTGACATAGGAAACACAAGGGTCGATCTCTCATCCTCTCTAGGGAATCTGGGTCCAAGATGATCGATTGGTTCATCTAATTCCACCTGCCTCCTCCAGGTGTTAGAAAAGATGGTCCACTGACCAGCCCATCCAGCTCCCTTCCAAATACCACTTCCTCTTTAAAATGAGGGAGGACTCAGGGGCATCAGAGGACTTTGAGACCTGGATTTCATTGGCTGCTCCAAGGAAGAGGAGCCTGCACCAGGATGGCTCTCCTTAAGTCATCCCTTGCCTCTCTCCCTAGGGCCAGGGAGCAGAGCCTGTGTCCACAAGCCCTCACCTAGGTTGGGCAGTGGGAGGGGCCAATTCTTTGGACAGCCTGCAGCCCTTGTGTGTGTGTGTTCGTGTGTGTGTGTGTGTGTGTGTGTGTGTGTGTGTGTGTGTGTGTGTGTGTGTTTGAGACAGGGTTTCTCTGTTTAGTTTTGGTGCCTGTCCTGGATCTCGCTCTGTAGACTAGGCTGGCCTCGAACTCACAGAGATCCACGTGGCTCTGCCTCCTGAGTGCTGGGATTAAAGGCATGCTCCTCGGCCACCCAGACGACAGCTGTCTTCTTGTCTTCCCTCAGGCCTGGTGTCTGCTCAGGACTAAACCAAATCAAAACACAAACATGTTTCCTTGGAAAGCTGCACTTGCTGCTCTTGCTCAGCAGGTAAAAGCCCTTGCTGTCAAAGCCTGATGGCCCTAGCTCAATCCCCCAAACCCAGATCGTGGTGAAGCTACAGGCCAGGAAGTGGTGTCACAGCGGGGGCAGAGGCAGGCAGAGGCCTGCTTTACAAAGTGAGTTCCCAGACAGCAAGGGCTACACTGTCTGGAGAGGGGTGTGTGTGTGTGGGGGGGGGACCACGGAACCGATTGCACTAAGTTGTCTTCTGACATACACACACAACAATCTTTTTTCCTTCCTTTCTTTTCTTTTTCTTTTTCTTTTTTTTTTTTTGAGACAGGGTTTCTCTGTGTAGTTTTGGTGTCTGTCCTGGATCTCGATCTATAACCCAGGCTGGCCTCAAACTCACAGAGATCCACCTGCCTCTGCCTCCCGAGTGCTGGGACTAAAGCCACGCCCGGCTACAACAATATTTTTTAAACAACTTGAAAATAAAACAGCTGGACATGGTGGCACACACGGCCTTAGTCTCAGCACTAGACAATCAGAGGGATGAGGCAGCTTGGTCTATATAGTGAGTTCCAGGCCACAAAAAAGAAAACACATAGATAGATGATACCTTAAAAAAGAGGAAACTTGTTTTACCATTTTTCTCAGAGTTTGGTTTTAACTTGGTTATTGTGGGCTGGCTACATTTTGCCTGAGTTCAGTCTCTAAGACTGTAGGTACATTTAGCATAAGAAATCATTATTTCTAAACCTATGTTACTCAGTTTGACCAAAAAGGGATTTCTTTTGCAGACGGGATCAGACTGGATGGGGTGTTACTCAATCTTTCCACATCTTTTTTTGGGGGGAAGGTCTCAGGCTTGTGGTTTCCTGACCTTCAGGACCTCCTCCCAACCCAACCTTCGCTCCTCCCTGGGACAAAGCTGAGGATTGAAGTTTACTCAATCGTTTACCCCCGCTCCACAGCTGTCCCAGTTACTGCCCAGGAAACCTCCAGTTCCCGTTGCCTGTTGCCTCCTGCTGCCCATAAGAGTGGGTTCTCTGCACATGATTTCTTGGGTAAAGATTCTTGCTTAAAGAGAATTCTACCCAGGAAGAGCAGACATGCAGGAAGTCCTGAACTCTGGTCCTCTGCCAGAGCATGCTCCTGTGGTGCTGGGCTCTGTCGAGCTGGGTGGAATCCAGGCACTGACTCAGAGCCCCGGGAATGTGGGTGAGAAATGTGGCTCTTGTGCAAGAGCCCTTCGGAACTGCTCCCGTTAGTTAAGTGAGGGCTGGGGGCTGGAGAGGTGGGTTAGACTGCTTGTTGCTCTGGTTGTCTAATTAGATCAGGCTGGCCTTGAACTCAGAGGTCAGCTTGCCTCTGCCTCCAGACCCCAGCCCTGGGACTAAAGGTGTGCACCGCCACACCTGAAGCAACACCGGTAGCAGCAAGTGTTCTTACCTACCTCCAGCCCTCAGCACTCATCCTGCTCCTACCTTAGCCCCACCTGACCCGAGCCCAGCCCCACAGAAGCACTCCAGCAGATGATCATACTTCAGCACCCAGCAGCTTCTATGTTCTCTTCTGCCCGACACCTTTCTCCTTCTCCTGTGGCAGCCCCACGTGCCTGGGGCTGGACTGGCCCACCTCCACAACACAACCAGACCGAATTGAATTGAAGGCGTAGGATGAGTTACCCATTTCCTGGAGTGTCTTTCTAGGTTTTTAAAATGGACTCAGAGATGCCTAGGGCTACTCTGGATGCCTCCAAGCTATCTGAGCATAAAGAAACTTAATCATTTCAGCAAGGCCATGCTGGCCACAGCAGGCTGCCCAGTCTGAGCTTCTTTATAGTGACTTAAAGAAATAGGTCCCGATCCCTTCCCTCACTTTCCCAGTCCTGGTAGCTTCCCAGAATGCCTTGGCAGGCAGCATCCTTCCCATGTCCACAGCTGCTCACTGGCTGATGGGTGGGACTCCAGCTCCCAAGGGCTCCATCCAGGTGGGCCATGTTCTCACTTCACATTGTGAACCTGCACCCCGCCTTCTGAACCTCTCACTTGGTACCTCCAGCCCAAGACAGTCCTATTACACTGTTTTTTTCCATCTCCCCAGAAGTTCTTCCTTGTCCTCAAGGAACCCCAAGAAGAGAACATACATGTATTTCCATTTATTTCAAGGCATGGAGCAGACACACCCCCAGGCTGGGGAAGGAGAGACAAATGGATACAAAACTTGAAGGGATCAGTTACAGTGGAGATGGCACCAACAAGGTATTAAGGCTCCGAATGTGAGTACGTGTAGGTGCCCATACATATGCACACGCACGCACAGAGGGCCATCCACACAGGGTTGAGGGCCGGCTGCAGAGGCTGGTCACTGCACACAGCTGCCTGGAATATTGCCAACTATATGTATTTAGAATGTCAACAGAATGGGAAGACTGTGTTGGTCAGGGCATGTGGCAAGCTTCAGCCTCCCTGGCTTTTGGGGACACCCCCTGGGCACTTCTCTTGCTTACAAGCTCACACTGCCATTGGCCAGGGCACTCCCCTGGCACAGGTGGGCTCCTCTGGCTGTAGGGGCAGGTGTGGGTTCGGCAACTCCCTGAACAGGCTCCTGTCCAAGCAGCTTAATAACAGGATAAAGGTCCCAATGTCCTCACCAGAGCGGCTACAGCCTGTCAGTGCTTGAGTGGGCAGACTGTCCCGAAGTCAACGTCGCCGCTCAAAGAGCCCTGGGAAATCCTGGAGTTGTCTTTCCTGCTGCTCCTGGAAACCTCCTCGCTTTCTCCTGCGCTGCGGGGAGTGACTGTCCAGAGCCTGCACAGGTCCTCCTGACCCCCAGATCTGATGCCATGTGGCAAGTGGGGGCTGGCTTGGGAGTGGCAACTTGAGATGATCAGGGGCACACTGCAGGGCAGAAAACTGCATTTGGCTTTAGCGTTAAGGCCGGTGCTAGGTGGAGGGCTCTGTAGGAGAGGCCAGTGCTCCCTGGAGGGTCCTACAGTTGGGGTCACAGCACCCTCATAGCCCCAGGCCCCACCTGCCATCCTCTCGCACGAGGACCCTTCTGTCCCAGTAGCCATGCCTGTGGGCCTCACTGCCTCCATTGGCCGGTGTAAAGTGCTGGGTGCCTAGGAGGGAACTCTGCAGGCATCACCCTGCATGCAGATCCCAAGGGCTCTTATTTGAGGACATAGTTAATGAATAACTGACATGTCAGGAAGATGCAGAGCAGGAACCAGGAGCGGGGGTTCTGCAGGAGGCTGGGGGCCGACGGCTGCCTGGCACGAACTGTGGAGCTCAACATGGCTGAGAGGTGCCTGCAATGACAGAGGCGGAGGCTGCGTGAACACCAGCATGGCCACCCTCCTGGCCTACAGAGGAGTCTGAGACAGGATGGCATGTCTGTCTGCTGGGAACATGGCTACAAGGGTGGGTGGGTGGCTCCTCAGGGAGAGGGGTCCCAGGGCAGGAACCTGGGCTGTGCTTTCTGGGTATCAGTTTGGGGACAGGACGGTCTGGTCTTGGGGAACAGGCCTCTTGCATCCTCCCTGCCACCCCTGGGGTGGTGACTGAATGGTGTCCTCCTCCTCAAACCTATGTCGAATTCCCCTGAGCTGTTTGGAGATAAGATCTCCGAAGAGGTGGCTACATTAAAAGGCTTACAGGGTGGGCCCTTAATCTAAAAGGGGATCAAGACAGAGACATACATGGTTACAGAGGATAACAATGGCTGCAAGCCAAGGACAGGGCACTGGGAAGAGCCAGGACTGAGACTTTCAGCCTCTTGAATGTGAGACACTCAGGGTCTTGTTGACATCCCAGGGACATAGGAACAAACCCACCAAGCCTGGACCCTGGTGTCTGGGCTCTCTGTTTCCTGGATGGAAGCAGTCCTTTTGTGGGGTACCAGGTTTCCCTTTCTTTGCCCACACAGCATGGGTAAGGAGCAGATTGAAAGACACATGGCTGTATTGTTGAGACATCTGCTAGAGGCGTTAACCTGGATTGACTCAAGGATACCCAGGCATCTGGGCAAGCACCTCCAGGGAGACCCTGTCCTCAGCAGGCTGTGCACAGCCCACTTCACACCTCCTCAGCCCTCTGTCAGCCTTCTGGGTCTAGGGCTCCCCACTGTGACATCAGAAGAACTCCAGAGGCCCTAGGAATCCCCATTCTCATTAGCTGGTGTATATTTATATTTATGTGACTGCCGCAGGGAAGGCAAAGGAGGATTGCAAGTGTTGAGACTTTCATGGTTTTGTTGATGGCCACCTGCAGGCAAACCACAAGACATATACAGTCCACAGAACAAGAATGATGTCATGTTTGATTCATCTCCCAGCAAACTTTGCCAATTTTCCCCACATTCTCCTGTGAATTAATGAGGCTTTTCTTTTTTGAACCTCTAGAGGACACTGACAGGGGAAAGCAGAAAAAAACTGGCACTTAGCACGGGGAGTGCTGCTAGCCTGGCAGTGCCATCATCTTCCCTGGGGCCAAAAACCACCTCTGGCCTCACACACCCACTCCAAGCTCTCTGCCTCTGAGGCCATAGAAACTTTTGTTTGTTTGTTTTGTTTTTTCTTTCTTTTTTTTTTTTTTTTCTGCAGCACGGTGTGATGGAGATCATGTTTTGTTTTTTCAAGACAGGGTTTCTCTGTGTAGCCCTGGCTGTCCAGGAACTCACTCTGTAGACCAGGCTGGCCTTGACTCAGAGATCTGCCTGCCTCTGCCTCCTGATGCTGGGATTAATGGTGTGTGCCACTGTCACCCAGCAAGTACCTAGGGTCTTAAGTCATTCCACACCGTCCCCTCAGGCTACTGCAGGTACCCAGGGGCCTCTAGCCAGCACACTTCTCAACTTCCCAAACTATAGCAATTGACTTCAGCCAAGTCAGCTTTCTAGATCTCCGTCTAAGTGGTGCTGCGTGTCTGGAACCTGGCTGACCCAGGAGGTACCCACCACATCCCACTCCTGTCCCTACCCTTCTCAGTGTCCCAGCCCTGCCTGACTCATTTCTCTTCAGCTCCACGCCCCATCCCTACCAACCAATTCTCTTGGCAAGATCTGGAAAGGAGTCAACAGGGTCAAGTACTGTGCCAGTCACTTGTGGGGTGCCTGGATGGGCACAAAGCTTGTTCTCCACCACACCCTCTCCATTCTGCCCCCACCCCCTGGTTGGTGCTGCTATTAACCCATTTTACAGAGGAGAACCAAGTGTGATGGCATATGGTGTCCTCACATGATACTGTGTCCTGTCAGGAAGGAACTGTGTGGCCGTGGTTCATACCCCCTGAGGTCACAGAGTACGGCTCTCAGATACTCCCTTTGTCTTGAGCATAGTCTGTATAGTGGTGCTGACAAGCTGCAGGGAGTCTGAGGTATCCAGGAGGGCTGCCACCTGCTTTCACACACCTGGGGTGGGGGGCTCCCCTGGCCCTGAGGGGCTCCCCTAGCCCTGTACTTTCTTCTAAGCCCCTTGCCTGTGCCCACTGGCTCCTGCATGAGGGTTGCACTCTCCTAGGCTGGCAGGCCCCTCCATCTCCTGTGTTCTTACCTATGCAGCTCTTGCTGAGCTTCCCGAATAGACAGCACAGCCTCCTGTAGCATCCGTAGCCGGTGTGCGTCTCGCCTGCACCGAGGACATGGGCTCTCACTACCTGGATGTCCAGGATGGAGACAGCAGGAAGAAAGAAACCAGGGTGAGCTAGGATGTCCTGGCTGACCCAGCTTCTGATCTACTACCTGAGAAAACTTCAGGAGCCAGCCACAGACACGGAAAGACAGGGAGAGGTTAGGAAGGGATGGATGCAGGCTCAGCTAGCCTGCAAGCCCTAGAGATGAGTGACAAAGACGTGGCTGGTCCACTGCAGAGGTGGGGACAATGTTGGGGAGACACAGATTGCTCAGTAACAACAAAGGAGCCAAGAGTCCCATCAGGGAAGGGTCAGAGGCAGAGCTGGGAGCTGGGCAATGGACAGTACCCAACCAACCTCTCACAGTGTCCTTGCAGCTCAGGAAAATCCTATCCTGGGACCACGTTCTCCCTGCAAATCCCCATTTTTCAGAGAAGGTTTCATGTATCCTAGGCTGGCCTTGAACTCACTATGTAGCTGAAGGTGACCTTAACTCTTGATCTCTTGTGTGACCTCTGGAGTGCTGGGTTATGAGTGTACATCACTATGCTGGGTTTATGCTGTGCTGAGACTGAACCCAGGGCTTCATGCATGCTAGGCAGGTTTTCTACCATTAAGCCACATACACGGTACTCTCTTTTCTTCCCCATGTCCTGGCTACAGCCTCAGTCTGTCCTTGGACTCTAAGAAGGCAGATCTCTTAGGGAGAGGGCAGGGCAGGACAAGCAAAGATGTACTATGAGGATACCTGCCCCTGTATCCTCATCTCTGGAAGGTGCTTCCTGGCCCTTAACATCCTGCAGAGGGGCTACAGGAAGGGACTGGCCCTCTCCTTCAGCCCTCCTCCCTCTTAGTCAAGGTCCAAGGTTTCCACCAGCCAGGGCCAGGGCCTGCTTAGCATATGGGAAACCCTGGTAGCTACTTACCAGGAACAAAGTCCTCATCAGAGAGGTCTGGGCAGGATTCAGGTGTGGAGCCGCTGCTCTCCGTGACCTGGCTATGGCCAGAGGGCTGGTCACTGGCCTTGCGGAGCCGCCGGTCGGGGCCAGGTCTCTGTAAAGACATGGAGTTAGTATATCTAGGTTCCCGTCCCATGGGCCCTTTGGAGACATGGTGGCCCATTAATGTCAGGATGCCCTAGAGTAGGGCAGTGTGCAGAGGACGGATCTGATGGCTTTGCAGCTGGACACAGGTGGTTTAAATCACCTGGCATGAACTGCAGCCATTCCATCTCTGGGGCCTCAGTTTCCCATCAGGAACAGAAAACCATTGACCTCCTCTTCAGGAAAGAGGACCAGCCAGCTCTCTGTGGTCTGGCCACCAGGTTGGCACATGGCCGGTGCTGTTCACACCTGGGACCCAGAACATGTGGCCAGACCCACCTGGTGGCGCCATTCATAGTCCTACCTTACATAAGGGCATCTCCTCCCTCCTTCCCCCTTTTTCCTGGAGCTCCCCCGACCCTTTGACTCCTTCCTGCCTTTCCCAGGCCCTAGGCATGTATAGATGCTGTAGAATAAATGCTTCTGTACACTGTGAAAATGTGTTGCTCTCATTGTTAATAAAAAGCTGGTTGGCCAATAACTAGCAGGATTGTTGGGGCAGAGAGAATGCTGGGAAGAAGGGTGGGAGTCATGGGAGAGACATAGAGGAAGCAGGAGATAAATATGCCATGCTAGAAGGTACCACTACATGGCAGAGGGTAGATAAGAAATATGGGTTAATTTAAGTTATAAGAGCTAGTTAGTAACAAGCCTAAGCTATCAGTCTAGCACTTATATTTAATGATACGTCTCAGAGTGGTTATTTGGGAGCGAGCAACTGCCGGGATGCAGAGAAACTCTGCCTACGTATGGATGCTGGCTGCTCTTCTTTCTTCTTGGACTACCCTGAGCCTGGGTTTCTTTATCTATAGAATGGGACAAAGTGGCTTCAGGAGGTAAACAGACTGGTAGCCAACTGACTCCTACATGGAGTCTTGAACTGTGAGGCCCAAGGTGCCCATGAATCAGGTATTCTGGATCTGGGGCCCCCCACAGAAAGGAAGAAGGAGCCACGAGGAGCCTGGGGTCAGTGAAGGCCCACTGCCGGGTAGGGTTTGAGATATCACAGACCCAGGCACCGAGGGAGGAGGGCGAGGTGGAAGGAATGAGCTAGCCATTGAGATCAAGCCTGGGCTGGAGCCTTGGTGAGAGGTACTGACCTTGTGTCTGGACCCTGGACTCCCCAGGAAGGTTGTCTGGCCAGACATAGTCTCCCTCTGTAGTGTGTGAAGAATCCCATCTTGCTCATATTGGGCGATGTCCTTCAGGGGGTCCCAGGGGCTGTGGCTGGAGGGTCCAGATGGTATCCATCAGTAGCAGTGATGACCCCCCCCCCCCACTCCTGAGGGAGAGGGCGCTGTCCTAGCCTAGACTTCAGCCTCTCATGGTAACCCGGGGGATAACCACTGTTCAGAGTCTTCAGGGAAGGGTTAGGGGGGGGTCTATCTTTCCATCCCTCCATATCCTTATCCTTAAGGTACTGCTGAAGGCAGGGAGCGGGCATTAGAGACTCCATGATGTCCCCAAGTCAAAACAGGCACAGTGGAGTCAGTCTGCCCACTCCAGTCCCATGGCACAGACCCCAGGGCCACTGGCCACTCACTTCTCATATCGGTAGCGCCATTCTTGGGTGAGTGGGTCCAGGTGGAACAAGTGTGGCTTCCATGGAGTGAGGCTCTGCTGGTGCTCACGGGCACGCTGCCGCTGTGCCTCCTCCAGCACAGACTTCTCCTGTGTGGCTTTGTGCTGGTCACCCTCACGGATGGCCCTGGTGACGTGCTGCCAGAGCCTACAGGCCAGAAGATCAACCCCCCAGGAGCTCAGAGTGGGGCGGCTCCATTAATCGGCAGCCCCAAATCAGTCCCGTCTATATGGGAAGGAGGCTGAGTGCTCTTTGCTTGGTTGCCTTCAATGGCAGGGAGCTGATTATCTTGCAGGAAGCCTGTGTCTCCCAGGTTTTGATTCCACACTATGAACTGTATTTTTCCTAAGCGGGGCTCCCACCTGCTACCTGCAGGGATTCCCTTGCTGGCTATGATGAGGCTCTCTCCTCCAGCTGTCCCTAGCAGGACAGTTTGATCTGGCCTGAGGGGTCTATTCTGAGGCTGTCCTTGCCAAAGACATCCTGGAATGTGCTCCTAGCATTGTGACCCTGACCGCCCTCCCCCTGGCCACCACAGCCTGTGGTCAGCAGGGCTCCTGGGTATAGGGCCTCACCTCTCAGACTCCAGCTCATTCTGTTCTTCCAAAAGCACTGTGTGCCGCTTCAGCCGCTGCCTGCGGACCTCCTCACTAGGAGTCCAGAAGAGCTCGGTGCCTCCACTGCCCTCTTCCTTGATAAACACATCTCTGTCCTGCCCCAGATGGCACAGCAGCATCAGAGCTGCTGGCCTGGTTGGTGACCACCCTCAGGCCCAGCCAGGCTCCCGAGGAATGATGTCTTACCCAGTGTCCAGTGAGGCGTGCAAGGACCTCCTCCCCTGACGTGATCTTCCCAGAGATCTGGTTGATGCTGGTGCTGCTCCCAAAGAAAGGCTGCAAGAGCAGATGGACGTCCGATGAGTGGGGAGGAGGAGGAGGGCCCTGCTTAGAGGCACATCCTCAGAGGTACGGAGTGGTCATTCTCATGACTACGGCTTAGACGAGGCTCACTACTAGAAAAGGATGCCCTCATGCCAGCGCCTCAGTCTGAACTCAAATCTGTGGTCTTCTACCATTTGGACAATGGGACTTAGGCCTGCAGGTTCTGCTGTGTGGCCTGTGGGCAACCCCTTTCTCTCTCTGGGCCCTGCCTGTTCTATGCGGATGCAAAAGTGTACTTGTTTGGGGGCACTCTGCTTGGTGTGGGATGAGGGGATCAGGCCTCCCTCCCCGAGCTCCATGCACTGTCTCCCACAAACTGCATACATCACCTTGAGCTTGAAGTCCAGTTCAGCTTGGAGGTTGTTCTTCTCACATGCGATGGTCACTTTGCCCCCTAGCTCCATGGTCATGGTGCCATACAGGATCCCTGAAATGCAACTGGTGTTGGGATTCAGCCCTGAAAGCCTGTGTCAGCAGACAGGGTAGGGAAGGTGTACGAAGGGGTTTGTTGAAATGGAGCCAGAAGCCTGCCTGTCCTTCAGTACTGTGACCCAGGAAGGGGCCTCTGCTCTGGTCTGGAGATGCCACACCCTTCACTGGGTCAGCTCCTTCAGAATCCCTGATCCCAGTGACCGAGCAATCACATCTGTGGCTGGGTTCTGCCCCAGAACTAGAGAATAGATGTGTCTGTTCCTCACTGCCCCCAGGACTGGGCCAGTGTGTCTGTTCCCAGCGGTCCCTCAGGGCTGGTGTTGTATGCATCTGAAAATCCTGTATATCTTTTTCTCAGTACACTTCTGGTCATATGGAAAACATAATCTAATTTAAAAATCACCACCATGATTGCAGTAGTTTGAATAAGAATGGCCCCGTAGGCTCATATATTTGAATGCTTGGTCATTAGGGAATGGCACTACTTGACAAGGATTAGGAGGTATGGCCTTGATAGAGTAGGTGTGGCCTTACTGGAGGAAGTGTGTCACTGGAGGTGGGCTTTGGGGTTTCAAATGCCCAAGCCAGGCCCAGTGGCTCTCTCTTCCTGCTGCTTGACAATCTGGATGTAGAACTCTCAGCTGCCTCTCCAGCACCATGTCTGCCTATGCACTGCCATGCTTCCTGCCATGATGACAATGGACTAAACCTCTGAACTGTAAGTCAGCCCCAATTAAATGCTTTTCTTTATAAGAGCTGTCATGGTCAGAGTGTCTCTTCACAGCGATAGGACACTGACTAAGACAATGATAAAACAAAACACCCAAACACTTCTACTTGAAAACTCAGAAATGTGAAGTAAAATATTTCATTTAAAAAAATTAAAAGCAAAAAAAAAAAAAAAGAAAAGCCATTTGTAGCAGCAAAGGCTCGACCTCTACCCCTATATTCTTCCAAGGAGAGTGTAAGTGCTAAGACATAGCACAGGGAACTATACAGCTGAGAGGAAGGCAGGATCCTCATGTTGCTCCAGGGGGTCTCGGGGCTGCATTACAAAGTAAGAAAAGTCAGCTATGAGCTTGGTGTGATCTCCACACTTGGAGGCTGGGGCATGAGGATTATGAGTAGGAGGTCAGCCTGTGCTGCAGAGTGAGTACCAGGCCGGCCTGGGTTACACAAGGAGACTGGCGGTTTGAATGAGAATGTCCAATGTCCCACAGAGGCTCACGTATTTGAACACCTGGCCTCCACTTGGAGAGGTTTAGGAGGTGTGGCCTTGTTAGAGGACACACGTCATGGAGGCTGCTTTGGGAGTTTAAAGACCCGACATTTCCCTTTGTTCTCTCTGCCTCTTGCTTGAGGTCCAAGGTAGGAGCTCAAAGCTTCCTGCTCCAGCTGCCATGCCTGCTGCTGGCTGTCATGCCTCCCCACCATGGCGGAGGACTGGCTCCCTGGAACCATAGGCCCAAATAAAATCTTTATTCATAAGCTGCAAGCTGCTTGCCATTGAGCCTGAGGACCTGAGTTTGGTCCACAGGTCCCGCATGGTGACAAGGGAGAAGCAGCTCCTTCAAGCTGCCCTCTGACCTCCACGAGTGTGCAGTGGCACACTTCCTCACTCCAAACAACTAAACAAATAAATGAAATAAAAACCAAACTAGGAGAAGGAAAAAAAAAGAAGCTAACTACAGCTCCGTGTGGGAACAAGGGGCAGGGTTCTGAAGGAGGCACGGGGACCAGTCACACCTTGTTTTGTGTTTTAGATTTTTAGAATCAGGTAAGTATTCTACACACACAATTATACAAAATAAAATAAAAATGAATGAATTCCTCGAAGTCACTGTAACTCCCAAGCTAAGACTGGTGGGAGTGACTGTGTAATATTGGAGGGGACCTTTTCACTCCATGGGGACTCTGAAAGTCCTTGGAAGATAGGCGTTACACAGAGCTGAGCACAGAAAGCAGGCTCATAGCACCAAGAGTCCCATGATTCTACGACTGCCTCCTGTCACCTAGCTAGATGGCTTTGTCAGGTCTGCATCAGCTCTGCCCGAGACTTAAGAGCCATGCAAGATCGGGGCTTGGCAGGCAGGGTGTAGAGACTCAGGGTCATAAGCCAACTGCTGCTCCCCAGATCAAGCTGCACGTCCCAGATCAAGCTGCCCGTGTCCCGCTCATCCTTTCAGTTGTCAGAGCTATGCCGAGTCAGAGATGAGTTTTTTATTTTTTTTTATTTATTTATTTTTTTTTTGGTTTTTCGAGACAGGGTTTCTCTGTGTAGCTTTGCGCCTTTCCTGGAACTCACTTGGTAGCCCAGGCTGGCCTCGAACTCACAGAGATCCGCCTGGCTCTGCCTCCCGAGTGCTGGGATTAAAGGCGTGCGCCACCACCGCCCGGCTGAGTTTTTTTATTTTTTAAGACACGGTCTCACTATGCAGCCCTGGCCTCGAACTCACAGAGACCTGCCTGCCTGTGCCTCCCAGGTACTGGGATTAAAGGTATGAGTTACAACAGCAGGTTTAGAATGGATTCTTATTTTTATTTTTGGAAGTTCTTGGGGTTGAATACTAGCCTCAGCATGCTCAGCACGTGCTCTGCTGCTGAGCTTCAGCCCCCACCAAAGGGATTTTTAGGGTGGGGAGGTCTTCTGTTTGACACTACAGTGGTGACTCTATGTCACTCTTCTTAAACCTGTAGAATATACACAAAGAGTGGGCCTTAAAGGAAACTGTGGATTTTAGCTAACAACTAAGTCTTAATCTGGTTTTGCTATGAACATGTAACAATGTCTGCCATACTAAGGAAGATGTCTGTGATAGGAGCTGGAGGTGGGTAGGGATCTATAGGAATTATACTTCTTGGTGTGTGTGTGTGTGTGTGTGTGTGTGTGTTGTGCTGGGATTGAACCCAGGGCTTCATACATACTAGGAAAGTATGCACCACTGAGCGGCCAGTCCAGTTCCCTTCCTATCTTTTAATTTTGAGACACTGTCTTACTAAGTTACCCAGGCTGGCCTTGAACTCCCTCTGCAGCCCAGGCAGGCTCTGACGTTTCAATCCTCCTGCCTCAGCCTCCTCAATAGCTGGGACTGCTCACTATCACAACGGGAGCCAGAGGCAAAAAAAAAAAAAAAAAAAAAAAAAAAAAATCAAAGAGGAGAAATCCTAGCAGAGTCCACCCAGAGTTACACACCCAGTTCTGAAAAGTCACCCACGAGGTCAGGACACCTTCACACAAGCAAACACCTGAGTGGTTTAGCATCTGCTATGGTTGTCAACACCACCTGAATTTGGAATCACCTAGGAGACACACACCTCTGGGTGGGTCTACAATGGTGTTTCCAAGGAGGTTAGCAGAGGAAGGAAGACCCACCATGGATATGGATGGCACATCCCTGGAGTCTTTGGCTGAATAAAAAAGGAGAAATCAGCTGAGCACCAGGTTCATCTCTGCTCCCTAACTGTGGATTCAACATGACCAGCTCTGTCATCTCCTCCTCTATGATGGACTGGACCCTCAAATTGTGACCCAAAACAAACTCTTTCTTCCTTTCTTGGTTGTTTTTTACCATGTCATCGTAAGAAGAAAAGTAACTAACACAGCCCCCTATGCCATGACTGAGGGCTAGCCCAGGCTATCGGGAAGTGGGGCATGGCACAGTCACTCACCTCGGCAGTGGGCGTAGGGCATGGTGAGGGTGTACTCCTCCTTGCGGTTCAGGAAGGTGAGTTTAGCCTTGCCGTCCAGAAGCGCGGACAGTGAGTTCCCTGCAAGGACAGGGCAGGGCTGTTGAGGGCACAGACCCTTAGCTGCTGCTGGACCCCAGGGTGTGAGTGTCCTTTCAACATATCCCAGAGTTCCCAGTGCCTCCAGCTAGAGCACCGAGGGACAGACAAACAACCTCTGGGGCTTGGGAATCATAAAAACTCTTTAGTTTGCACCCATTATGAACTCTGAGAAATCATCTGCCTTGTAGCATGTAGTTACTCCCATCATAGTTACTCTACCAGGGAGTTTCAGGGTGGAGACTATTAACCTTCTGGAGCTAGCCTGAGCCCAGAGCCCAGGTGGGAAAGGTGAATAGAATATGGATGCAGATGCCACATGCTACCCTCTGCTGCTACAGGGCACACAGAGAACCTAAGCACATACCTGCACACAAACTATGAGGGTAACGAGGTGCCTGACGGGGAAAGGTGTTGCTGAGGTTCCTGGGCACTGCTATTCCCAGGCTCAGAGCAGCACAGAAACACAGCTTGTCCTGTGATCACAGGCTGCTCTGCCCTGTTTGGAACACTCAAGCACCTGCCACCAGCCAGGTGTGGCTACCAAAACACTTGATGGGACCCATGCAATAGAATACTGTTTTCACTTCTATATACCTACCTACCTTCTATCTATCTACCTATTACCTATCTCTCTGCCTCCTACCCACCTATGTATTATCTATCTACCTACCTATCTATCTATCTATCTATCTGTCTATCTATCTATCTATCTATCCATCCATCCATCCATCCATCCATCCATCCATCCATCCATCTATCTATCTATCTATCTTCTATATACTGACTTTCTGTCTCTCTATCCATCTATCTACCTACCTTCTGTCTATCTGTCATATATCCACCATCATCCATGTGCATTTCTGGCGATGGAACCCAGGGCCTCTGCCCACTAGGTGTGCACTTTCCACTGATCTGCAGCCCAGCCCCCCTTTTAACCAGTACAGACAGCCACATGTGGCTGACGGCTATGGAATCAGGTGGTTCTCCTGGGACAAGTTCTTCTCCATAGGCTTCTCCTCTGTTCCCTTGCTTCCCTGCAGAAGGTGTCCGCTCTCAGCAGAGTTGGGGCCACCCACATCATCCCACCACTGGAGTTCTGGGGTTCACTGGCTTCTGGAGTGAAATTCTCCTCCCACTTCTACAAGACCCAGAACCCCCCACTCCCGCCCCCAAGCCTCCTCACCATAGAACCTGGACTTTGCTGTGATGCTGCCGCTCATGCAGAAGCCATCCTTCTGGTTGCTGACATAGAAGGCAGACACAGGAGGATGGTGGGACACCTGTGTGAAGGGAGGTGGCTCTGGAGATGGCTCCAGAGAGGGCAGTCCCAGAAACGACATACCTCGGGGTCCCAGGACGAAGTGTGGGACATAGTCTTAAAAGTACCACGGCAGGGCCTGAATCTCCGTGTCTGGGAACCTACTCAAATTTCTGAGTCATCTAAAAATGCCCTGTGCTGGGCAGTTAGGCTGCTTGCCCTCCTTCAGGTGATGCTCTGTTACATGCCTGCCTGTCTTGGAGAATCCCCATGGTCAGTGACCAGTGTGCAGCCTCCCCTATGGCAGGGTATGGGCCAGAGAAAATGCCACCCTCAGTCCCACCAGCCCCTGCCCACCGCCTGCTGCCCACACTGAGCTGGAAGGCTGAGTTGGGCAGTGGGGTCTTGCCTGCTCTGCTATGTAGAAGGTGTGGCTGTTGGTCTGAGGGTGCAGCCAGCGGCAGCGGAAGGTCTCCCCCAGGATGGGGTTATAGGGTTTCTTGATGCCCTGTGGGGAGCACAAAGACATGCTGGAGGAACTGGGAAGAAAAAGCCACTTCCGGGGGTCCAGATGGGGTGAGGCACAGGTGAGACAGTATGGGGGGTGCTCCTGCCTCTAGAAGGGGCTCTGATTTGCCATTAGCACCTTGCTTCTGCTTTGAGGAGACGACTTTTTGCTGGTGGCTTACATTTGGCGGGGAGGATGGGGGAAGGCCTGCCTCGGGAATTCCTGGCTTCTGCTGAGTTCAGAGGGGCCTCAAGACCCCAACCAGATCTGGCTGTCCTGGGACTGAGGCACAGCCCATACATAACTGGGTCAAAGGCAAGCTTGGGAGATGCCAGGCTTCTAGGAGACCTTGGTCTATCTCAGTCTATGGCATGACTCTGGGTTGGACTGCAGGCTCACATCTATTCAATGAGAGGCAGAACTGGAATCCAACTCAGTGCAGTCTTCCTGCTTCTGCCTCCAGAGTGCTAGCTAGTATTATAGGTGTGAGTCACCACACCTGTGTGTCTGCCTGTGTGTGTGTGTGTGTGTGTGTGCGCGCGCGCATGCGTGCGTGCATGAGTGTGAGTCTACATGCCTGTGGAGGCTGGCAGTCAATGTTAAGCGCTATCCCTCAGAAGTTATCTACCTTCTGTCCTATCTGAGACAGGACTGCTCACTAACCTAGAATTTGCCAAGCAGGCGAGGCTGGCTGGCCAGTGGGCCACTGGGATTCTCCCATCGCCACCTCCTCAGCACTGGGATTACAAACACGTGCTCCCACCCCCAGCCCCAGTGAATGAAACGCGGGTCTTCAAGCTTGCATGGCAAGCATTTTACTGACTGAGCTCTCCCCACTCTTCCCTCCCCTTTTAAAGATGGATTCTCACTATATAGCCCAGGCTGGCCTTGAACCCCAGGAAATTCTGTTTGTGCTTCCCTGGTGCTGGAATTACAGGTGTGCACTACCACATCTGGCCAGAATCTTGGTTGTCAAGTTTGTGTACTATGGAACCCCAGCTCCAGGTAGACCTGCAGGCCACTCCATAACCAGGATGGCTGCTACCAGCAGAGTCCTGGGCTGGGGGTTTTCAAAAGGGATTCTGTGACAAAAGGTGATAGATAACCCCAGATCCCAGAGGTAACATAACTTAGGGTCAAATGCTCCTTTCCTAACACTCTCGTGTGTGGTGGCACCTGTCACGCAGCCTGAGGCTGTCTCCTTGAAGACTGAGGAAGGATCCAGTTAATGGGACCAGCATTGGGAGCTGGGCCTGAGAAGCCAGAGAGAGAACTGTCCTCCACCTCTCAGGATCTAGGGCCACGGTGGGGATAGCTGGGTATCTTCTGGGCCACGGAGGAGAGTGTTGGTCCCACTCATGGTGGGCTGACAGACCCCTGGCTGAGGCCCTGCCCTTTCCACAGGCCCCTCCTACCTTGGGCTTCTTGTAGAAGCCAGACAGATACCATCGCAGCACAAGCTTCATGCGGCAGTAAGCATCCTCCTCTGTGGCTGCCCTGTGATGGAGGTGGAGAGCTCCGACTCAGGTTGGGGTCCCCGGATACCCTCCCCAGAACCCTTTCTCCAAACATCCCAATCTCCACCCACTTGGATGAAAGAGGCAACCTCATCCCAGATGACCTCAACACCCCGCTCCATCCTTCCAGGCAGGCCAGAATCAGGCCAAGTGGGTTTAGCACACAGCCATAGAAAGTGCTGCGGATCAGCTTCACACTGGGGCAGAGAGGGCTCTGCATGCTCCGGGCTGTCGGGGTGCCCTCCCCTCTAGGAAGACCCCCTTCGCTTCCCTCTTCCTGGCTCTACCCCATCCCCTGCCTCCGCAGCAGCCCACAGGGCCTGTGGGACCCGCTTCTGTCGGTGATGCACCTGGAGAGCAGGTCCCCGTGGTAGTAGTAATCTGAGAGCTTGCTGAGGAAGGAGCGGGGCTCCAGCACGAAGGTGGGCAGCACCACTCGCGACAGGTCCATGCCCGGCCGCAGCTGTCGCAGCAGCACCCACATCAGGTTCTTGTTTTCCTCGGACACTGTCTCCACCTGGGATGTCTCATCCAGCTGCAGCGGAAGGATACAGTCAGGCCCCATGGGATGGACTTGGAGCCTCTGCTCTGGGTTGCCCAAAGGAGCTGAGGGACAGGGAGTCAGAACAGCACATTTGGTCCTTGCCTACCGGAGGACATGCATCCACTCTGTGTGAATGGGTGCCACCGCCCATTCTGAGCTTGGGAGGGAGGGAGTTCCTCAATAGGTCTGAGAACAAGACCAGCTCTTCTCTACCTCTGGTGCCTTGGCTCTCCTTCTCACAGGCACAACTGCCATGGTGCCGTTCACCACATGGCATATCCACAAGACCTTCACCAGAGGCCACATCCACAGGGCTGCCCGATCTTATATGTCTGGCCTCCAAAATTCTGAGCTAAAAACCCCTCTTCTCTAGAAGTTCCAGTTCAGGAATCTGGTTGCCCGGGTCCTGTGTGCTTGCAGGTATGCCGGGCAGCTTGCTGCTACTATAAGAAATACCCGAGGCAGTTGACTTTTAAAAGAAGAAAGGTTTGAGCTAATCTCAGCACTAAGGAGGCTGACAAAGAGGACTGCTATTTGTGGCCAGCCTGGGCTACAGAGTAAGTTCTAGGCTAACCAGGGCTACACTGCCCAGTCTCAAACGAAACAAAAGGTTTATCTTCAGTGTAGGAGGGCTTGGTGTAGGATTGATGAGCTTGCTTTAGGCCTCTGGAGACATGGTACATCATGCAGGAAGTACATGGCAGCACAAATGCTCATGGTCAGGATGCAAGAGAAAGAAACCAATCGGACCCCTCTGAGGCCACACCCCCAGTGACCTAACTTCCTCCTGAGGTCCCAGGTCCTCAGGGTTCTACCACCTCCCAGCTGTAACAAGCTTCACACCTGGCTTTCGGAGGACACTCAACATGTAGGTGAAAAAGTCAGAGGACAACACAGGTTCCTGATTGGGGTGAGGGGCCCAAGGTTGTCCGACCACAGGACAGGTCCCCAGTGTGTACAGGAGTTTGTCATCTGCCCAGCAGGGAGGGCTGGGATCTGTCCTCTGGCCACAGTCCACCCCAGCTCAGGGAAGCTGTTTATTTGGGGCTGGACCTTCACATCAACCTTGCATCTCATGCTAGATGGGCAGGGCAGAGTTGGAGACATGTCATTCAGAGACGTCCACTCACAGGCACAGCTGCTGGCTGCACACGGAGTAACAAGAGGTTGCAGACTTCAGCCCTAGCCCTGCCGCGCCCTGTTTCTGTTCTCTCAGTCGACAGTGGCTCTCACCTCTCCCAGCTCCTCCTGGACCTGCTCCACATAGGTGGTTCCCCTCCGTGGCCCACCAGGGCTGTCCAGTGGGTCACTCCCACTCTCATTGGTCTTGCGGCTGTGATCCTGCGTGTCAGCATCTGAGTCTTCGGCGTTCTCTCGTTCTGACTTGTCCGAGAAGGCATCATTCTCCAGGTGGTTCTCCAAGGCAGACCCATTCAGCCTGGAGAGAGGAAGTGCCTATGGGCCCCCAGTTCCAGGCAACACCTAGGACCTCAGACACCCATCTGGGTACCTGGCCTCTCTCACTTCAGGGACTTCACACACTGCCTTATACTGAGTGACCTGCATTTGTACTATTGCTCTTGGCCTCCCTCCTGTGGCTAATGGGGACACCATGCAGACCCTTCTCACCCAGCTCACTCACGGGAACAGGTCTTGGTCTGGGATGGTGGTTGAGGTGGGCAATCCATAGAGAGAAGAGGGTGAGGCATCGGGCGACGACCCCTGCTCTCCATCTCGGCCCTGCTTGCATGTGCTCAGTCGAAGCAGACTGGAGCAGCGCAGGGCCAGCTCCAGGGCATCTAGCCAGCAGCGGCCTGGGGGACACAGAATGAGTCCGATGGGGCAGCCTTCCCTGTACTTCCCCACTGTGGTAGTTTGAATATAATTGGCCCCCACAATCTCATATGGAGTGGCATTATTAGGAGGTATGGCTTTATTGGAGTGAGTATGGCCTTGTTGGAAAAAAGTGTGTCTCTGTGGGGGCAGGCTTTGAGGTTTCTTATGCTCAGGATATTGGCCAATGTCTCATCAACTTCCTGTTGCCGGCAAGCTGTAAGACTCTCAGCTACTTCTCCACCACCACGTCTGCCTGCACACTGCCATGCTCCCCACACTACGATGGTAATGGACTGAACCTCTGAAACTGTAAACAAGCCACCCGAACTAAATGTTTTCCTTCTAAGAGTTGCTGGGGTTATGGTGTCTCTTCACAGCAATGGAAAACATAACCAAGACACTCACCAAGGAACTTGATCTGCCTATTTTCCAGAAGTAGCTTTCAGGAAGCAATCTCCTGCCAAGGTATCTTGTCTTTTAGTCATGAAACTTCTGGTCCCATGCCTCACTCCTCTCCACTAGGGTCTAGTTAAAGACTCGCCTCCCTAACAGACCCCAGCCTTGCATGTAGCCATCCTGGCAGGAATGAACATAAACTAAAGAGACAGGTGTGTCCCTCCCTTCGGCCATCAGACTATTGAAACAATGAACCCCAGGAGTCTCACACTGAGGAAGGGAAAGGCTGAAGCCTGGTGCCAGTCAGAGGGGGAGCTTGTCTCCCAGAGATCTCACAGAGTTCTGAGAACTTGTCAGACCACCTTGCAGGAGAGACTGGAGCTGACAGTGATGGGTCAGTGATGGGCAGGACCACACCTCGACCAGAACTGCTTAGGAATGCACACCTCCTGCCCTCTGTTTAAACCTAAATTTCACACCAGGAGCCTGAAGACAGACTTGAGGGCCTTTGTTTCTCTTCACAGTGTGTCCACACTGAATTAATCTCCCTCCTCCACTTTTCACTGCTTTGTCTGTTTAATTGATTACTGAGAATGGGTGGCTGAGTCCAGCTTGTTGGGGCTGCCAACAGCTCTGGGAACACGTGCACACATGTGTATGCCCTTGGAAATGAGTGTGGGGCACACATCAGGGATCCCATGTTCGTGGGGGCAGAGGCTGGGCAGGGGTCTGGTATGCCAGTGAGGAGCCAGTGAGCAGGGTTCAAGAGGCAACAAAAGACAGCCAGGGCTGTGGGAAAGCAGGGGACAGGCAGGGCAGGGCCTGCTTTGGCCTAAAGCCTGTGGCCCTGAGGTTCCACTTTCTTCATGACAGTGTGTATGCGTGTCTGCAGGGCTTGGGTTAGACTGGTATCATATCACTGCCCTTGGGAGTGGGGTGATAGATAGGAAGGTATTGTTCAGAGCTATGGGGAGAGGCACCCACACAGGTGACACCAGTGTCCCGGCATGATTACTAACAACAGTGCCTCCATCCACTCCACACTTCAGAGTCACCTATAAGTGATACTACAGTGTCCGAGGGACTCATGTGTGAGGGCCCCAGCTTAAGGAAAGATGAAGGAAGCTTTTGATTCCTAAGCTTCCATGCTGGGTGTCCCTGGGTACTGTGGGCTTCTTTCACTAACTTAAAACCACACAGCCTTTTGTTGGAGAGCCCCTGGGGCTACACTGGGAAGCTCAAGGGGACCCACTGGATGGGACCTCCTGGTGCCCTGGAACTGCCCTCTTGCTCAAGGATGCCTGGCATCCTGCTAGACTCACTGTAGGCTTCCTTTGAGCACAGTGCTACCACCAGTGACACTGGGCATTTGTGGGGACAGTGAGAGGATCATGGCAGGTTATATAACCCAGGGTGAGAGCTGGGGAGATCACTGTGGAATTGGACTTAGGGCCCAGACATGCATTTTGTGGCTGCCACAAAAGACTAGACATCCTGAGTGTTATACATCCTTTGAAACCTGTTTGAAAGCCTCTGCCTCCTCCTGCAGGAAGCCCACCCTGATACACATGAGATTGCAGATAATCTTCCTTGACTGTGGCCCCTGACAATCAGGGCTTCAGTTCAAGCTTGTCATCTGGTGGCTGGCTCACTGCTCAAAGACCCCTAAGGTATGCAGGCTCTGTCAGGGCACAGATTGTCGGTCCACCCTAGAGTCCAGCAGGACCAATGACAGAGAGGGTGAACAAAAATATTAAAAGCATTCAAGATAGGCTGGGAGTGAGTGTAGATATAACATTTGACCACAAGGGGGCGCCATAGAACCAGCAGTTAAGCTATATGCGGGATTCCAAACCTCAACAGCTGGACCTTAGCGGTCAGGTCCTTGGACCTCCAGCTGGGGGCACCAGCTCTGAGGTTTTGATCAGGAGCCACAGCCCTGGCTAGAAGCTGTCACCTGAAGGACTCCTTGTTACAGACATAATGGGCTGCTTGCTGCTTGGAATCTGTGATCTAGTTCAGAGGATCTGGACTCAGGGGAACCCACATTAATATCTGTAACCTATTGCTAGACTACTTCTGGGCTGCCTGTTACTTAAGCTTCCCCATCTGTCAAACATGAAATATCACAGCAGAACTTGTTGGTGGCACTCAGAACTGTCACCTGATTGTTTCCATACAGCCCTGGGATTCCCATAGCATCGGGGTGACAGGTACAGCTAGTCCCATTTAATCCACGGGGAAACTGAGGATCGGCTGAGAGAGGGGCATCACTATAGGGCAGGCTCAGTCTGTGTCGTTGGGTAGCTGAGCTAGAGTCCCCCAGTGAGGGGAAGGGAGTAACTCAGTGGTGGAGCCCCTGCCTAGAATCCCCCAGTGAGGGGCTGGGGTGTGGCTCAGCGGTAGAGGCCCTGCCTAGAACCCCCCAGTAAGGGGAAGGGAGTAACTCAGTGGGAGAGCCCCTGCCTAGAATCTCCCAGGGAGGGGCTGGGGGTGTATAGCTCAGTGCATGGTTCCACTTCCAGGGGACTCTGGGATGGCGGAGACAGGGCAGGTGGCACTCACCGTCCGATTCAGAGGCGGCCCTGAAGATCAGGTAGCTGCTGGGGAGGGGCTGGGTGATGGAGCCCACACTCTCACCTTTGGGGCCCTAGAGAGGCAGAGACCTGCAAGGTCAAGCACTGGGCCAGGAAGGCTATGAGGAAGTGGGTGGGGCGCTCCCCACCCGCTTCTGAGCCGAGACCCCTCCTTCAGTTCAGCTCCCTGATTATGGTGGCCAGAACCAGTTAAGGTAAGTTCCAGACTTGCGGTCGAATTGTCCCTTCAGAGGGACAGCGAAGGGCTGGTCAGTGTAAGGAAGTCTGTCCCTTATTTGGAGTAAACGTGTTTTGTTTTGCTTTTGAAACAGGTTTCACTACGTAGCCCTAGCTGGCCTGTAACTTGCTAAGTAGACCAGGCTTGGCCTTAAACTCAAAGAGAATCCGCCTGACTCTGTCTCTGGAGTGCTTGGATTAAAGGTGTGACCCTTGCAGGCCAAGCTGGAATATATTTATATGGTCAGCATTTTCATATAAAATAGTTTTATTTTTAACTCTTTTTTGGTTTTTCAGCAGTTTTTGTTTTTGTTGTTGTTGCTTGTTTGTTTTGAGACTGGCCCACTCTCACTCTGCAGCCCAGGCTAGCCTACAACTTCCTATGTAGTTGGAGATGGCTTTGAACCTCTGATCCTCCTGCCTCTGTCCCCCAAGTGCTGCCCATGGGGCGATGGGGTGTCCTCAGCTCGCTGAAGGGGGCTGCACTGTGCTAGCTCAGGCACGTTCATGCATTTTTGAGGTTCAGTATTTTTAATCCATAGTGGGTTTACTCAGCTGTAATTTCACCAAAAGTGGGAAGAATATTACTTTTAAAACTAATAGAAGCTAGGCATGGTAGTTTATACCTGTAATCTCAGCATTTGAGAGGATGAGGCAGGAGGATTGCCACAAGTTCTAGGCTAGCCTGAGCCATAGAGTGAATTCTACATCAGTATGGGCCATACAGTAAGAGAAACCATGTCTCAAAAAAAAATCAAACCAAGCCGGGTGAGGTAGTACACTCCTTCAATCCCAGCACTCAGGAGGCAGAGGCAGGCGGTTCTCTATGAATTTGAGGTCAGCCTCCGTAGTGAGTTCCAGGCCTGCCAAAGCTACACCTTGTGTCATCCCCACTCCCAAATCCAAACAAAACATAAACTTTGTCGTTTCTCTGAAACCCAAATGTAACGAGGTTTTCCCTGAGGACCCACGCCTGTCGCATCAGTCCTGGCTGAGCAGTCCAGGTGGTGAGGGATGAAGGTCTGCGTCAGGGACAGGCCCTTCCTCCCCTTCAGACAGCACTGGATGAGGGACCCAGTGCATAGCCTAGATCTGCCCCATCTCTGCTTCCCGCAGCCCATCACGGGCTGCTCAACCTCCAGGGATCCCTTGCTAGAGCTCTCCTTTTGGAATTGTGGTCCCAGGAGGAGCCCCCAATCTCCCTGAACCCCCGGCCTGGGCACCCTGTTGATCGGCTCACCTTTACAGCCCACACAGACTGGTCCAGCGGGTGGAAGAGTTTGAAACAGAAGCCATCCTTCTTGGAGGGGCGCTCGATGAGCTCGCAGCAGTGCAGCAGCACCGTGCCCACCCACTGGCCCACCTTGGGCGTCTTGTAGATGAGCAGTACACCTGGTCTCAGCACGCACCACAGCTTCGTCCAGCTCTTCAGGGTCCCTCGGATCTGCAGAGGACCTCACGGTCAGGGTCATCCACTGGAGGCCGCTCCCCGAGCCGTCTACACAGCTTGGCGGGGCATGACCAGAGGCAGGGACTGGGGTGATGGACTCCTGGAGGCCCCAGGAGCTAGGAGGTGTGTCCCAGAGCTCTGTGGGGAGTGTGGTCCTCACAGCACCTTGACGCTGGCCTCTGGCCTCCAGACCTATGGGGAACTGGCGTCTGTGTCGCGCCATTTGGTACACAGTCCAGGGCCACTCAGACAGCTCTGTAGTGACAAACAGACTCACCTCCCAGGTGCCACGGATGTCCTGGCCTATAGGAGCCCCTGTGCGTGGCACACCTGCCTACCTTCAGGCTGTCAGCCATGATGACCACACTAGGGTCGGTCAGGGCGCTGAAGAGCTGCTTTGTAGCCCGCTTCTTCTCCTGCCGATAGTTCTCCTTCTGCGCCTGCGACCAGCACGGAAGTGGGTTGGTTGTGGAGAGCATGGGCTGCCCTAGCTCCTCCCACTGCCGGCGGGGCACAGGGAAAGGAGGATGTAGAACAGTGGCTCTCAACCTGTGGATCGTGACCCCTTCGGGGAGGGCTGAACAACCCTAGCACGGGAGTAGCATATCAGATATTTATATTACGATTCATGACAGTAGCAAAATTATAGTTATGAGGTGGCAACGAAATAATTTTATGGCTGGGAGTCACCACAACATGAGGAACTGTATTAAAGGGTCACAGCATCAGGAAGGTTGAGAACCGCTGATGTAGAAGGTGTGGGTGTTTCCCTCCATCCTCCCCACCTCCTGGGCCAGGCCCACCTTGAGAGTGTCCTTCTTGGAGATCCTGGTCGTTGGGGAGGTACATTCCTTGTCAGATCCATTGCATAGCCTGTACTCAGCCTGTAAGAGAGAGAATGGGGTGCTGGGAGGTGTCAGGGTACAGTTGGGGCTGCCAGGGCCGGGGCAGCAGAAAGCAGGGGTCCCAGAATAGACAGAAATGAGAAAGCGAGCTGAGCATCAGCATTCATCTCTGCTTCCTGACTGTGGACGCAATGAGACCGACCGCTCAGCTCCTGCAGCCAGGCCCTCCCCACCCCCACCACGATGGACTGTGCCCTTGAACTGCGAGCCAAAAACGGTCCTTCCTCCCTTAGGGTGCCTTCACCAGGCATCTTGTCTCAGCAATGAGAAAAGTAGTAAGGTGGGGTTTGTAAAAGAGGGCCTTGGTGGCAGCCAGGGCACGGTGGTGACAAGTTTCTAGCCTATGTCAGCCCTAAGGACAGCAGTTCTCTTCCACGACGCTCAGAATGGCCACTCCTTGGCCACCACCAGGGTTCATCTCTGGGCAGGTAAACAAGGAGACTTTGGGGTAGGGATGCCTATTGGCTCTGCAGAGGTGTGTCTATAGAGTCAGTGTCCAAACCTTGCTTGAGGCTAGAGACAGGAGCCAAGCACTGGAGCCTGGGGCCATTGCTCACTTTCCAGACCCAGAGCAGTATGAGAGCAGCATCATGGAGCTAGAAGGAGCCACAACCCCACAGATGGAGAAACTGAGGTCTGGGGAGTAGAGCCAGAACTTGGTCGAAAGGCCACAGGTCTGGGGATCACAAACTGTGCCCCGAATCCTGCATGCCACCTGTTGCCGTGCCCCTGGGGTCTACAGGTGTGATACACACGAGGCTGTAAGTTGTCGTTGGCTATTGAGCTCACTGAGAAGCTGCCTCTGGGAACAAGGCTGCACCCCGCCCACATGCATGTTGTCACAGTGTCCTCCAAGGCCCCGGGTCTCACATGGCTGCCCCTCCCCAGCTCTGTGACAGAGAGGGAAGAGAGCAGCCCTGAAGAATTCAGAGCTGGAAAGGGACCATTTCTAACGGAGGAAGTTACCATTGTTCATCCTACAAGGTAACAGTGCCCACAGTGGGAACACGCAGCCAGACTCAGCTATGGACAGAAAGCACAGCTGGAAACCCCAGCTGATTGCCTCAACTTTCCCAGGCAGTTTCTGCCAGGTGTTGTGAGCCCCCAGGTGTTATAAGTCCCTCTGTTCACGGTCCCCAGCAGGCTCTTCCAGTCATTTCTGCTGAGCCCTGTAAACGCCTGATTTGATGATGTTTTGCTATCTATTGCTTCTGTCTATTGGCTACCTACGTGTGTTCTTTACTTTGTCTTGTTAAATACTTAATAAACACACTTATATCTGGGTGGTGGTGGTACACGCCTTTAATCCCAGCACTTGGGAGGCAGAGTCAGGCAGATCTCTGAGTTCGAGGCCAACCTGGTCTACAGAACAAGTTCTAGGACAGCCAGGGATACACAAAGAAACCCTGTCTCAAAAAAACCAAAAAAAATAAAAATAAAAAATAAACACACTCATTCAAAACCCAAAGTGTGGCTATCGGCTGCCATTGCTCACTCTCCTGCACAGAACAAGCTAAAGTGTCTAAAAAAAAAATCAAATGAATATTTCATGATGTGAAAATTATAGTGCGTGAGTCAATTTTAATTGTCAATTTGACAAAATACAGAATCACCTAGAAAGAGTCTCAGTGAGGGGCTCTCTAGATCAGGTTGGCCTGTGAGTGTCTTGATGGAGGTGGGAAGACCCACCTTGAGTGTGGATGGCACCATCTCATGGGCTGGGCCCTGGACTGAATGGAAAGGAGAGTGTGAGCTGAGCTGCAGCCCATGGGTGTTAGTCAGAGGCTCTCTGCCCCTGACTGCGGTAGAGATGACTGCGGGTAGAGGTGACCAGTGCTTCAGGCTTCTGGTGCCTTGACCTCTCCGAAGTGATCGATTGGGACCTGAAGAAGTAAGGTTGACTATGCTTGGCTCTGAGGGACAGATGGGAGTCCATAGGTACATGGATGCTGTAAGAGTGAGGGGTGGAAGTACTATGTGTGGGCTTTTGTGTTGGTAGGTACATCTGTACTCATTATTTTTTAATCATTATTTACGTGTGTGTGTGTGTGTGTGTGTGTGTGTGTGTGTGTGTGTGTGTAGGTCAGAAGACAACTTGCAGGACTAGGTTCTCTCCTACAGTTCCAGGGATTGAACTCAGGTCACTGGGCATGGTGGCAAGCACCTCTCCTGCAGAGCCATCTCACTGGCCTGTATATGCATATTAAACAGAACAGCTCAGCTGGGTGTGGTGTTACATGCCTTCAGTCCCAGCACTCAGGAGGCCAAGAGTCTGTCACTGTGAGCTGGAGGACAAACTAGTCTACACAGTGAATTCCAGGCCAGCCAGGGCTACACAGTGAGACCCTATCTCAAAGACAAACCAACCATCCACAACAGCTCAGGTCACTGGTGTCACTCATGTCCCGCAGAGACGGGGACCATCCCATAGCAAGGCTCAGAAGCTTACCCTGGCCATGCAGCAACTAAGCAGCCACGCTGGGATTGAACTTGGCAGTCCCCCTTCAGAGCTGCACCCTCTTAGCCACATAAGAACATTCCAGATCCTCGGAGGAAGTGCCCAGCGGCTCTGCTCAGAAGCGGTCTTTGAGCTAAGGGTAAATGACAATGCACGTGCCAGGTAGCAGGCCTCTAGCGACAGGCTCTGTGGGGACTCTGCAGAAGGCTCCCCAGCCTGGCATGCTCATCCACGTGGTTGGGTAGATGCTTCTCTTCCTCAGTCCCCGAATGGCCTACCCAGAAGGAGGACAGCTCTGACCACACGGGTGGAGACATGCTCCCTCAACTTGCCCAGGGCTTAGACAGTCCCAGCCCTGCAGGGACTGCGGTTAGCTGTCTGTCAGAGTGCCCCGTGGGGCAGCTAACTCAGCCCCTGCTCAAATTAGCAGCTGGCGTTTGTCAAGAACTATGAAGAGGTGGACAAAAATCAACCCGTGGTTTAAATTAAAACACTATTTACAGAGAGAAATGGCTCAGTGGCTAAGAGCCCTCTAGAGGACCCGGGTTCAATTCCCAGCATCTACATGGTGGCTAACAACCATCTAAAACTGTAATTCTAGGATTCTTCTAGCCTCCTAGGACACCAGACATGCAGGTGCTGCATACATGTGCATGCAGACAAAGCATCCACACACAAAATACAAATAAATGCATCTAAAAACCCCATTATTTACAGCCCTGTGGATGATCTCTACCACCCTGGGCTGAACAAGCTGTGCTTGTTCTAGACCACAGAGAGAGGGAGGGGGGAGGCCAGCTGGGGGCCTGGGGCAGAGCACCTGCATACCAGAGCCCCCAGGTCACTCCTATGTCCTCACGTGTACCAGGCCGCACAGGAACACTTAGGAAATGGGAAGGCTCCCCAGAACTGGGGATTTTGAAATCTTCCTGGAACTCTGTGGCCTATAAAAAAAATGACTTAAAAAGTGGAATTTGAGGATTTGGAGGAGGTTGCTCAGTGGATAAAGCACATGCACACAGGTGTGCCGGCTAGCGTTCAGATTCCTAGAAGCAAGCCATCTAAGAGTAAGACAGATGCTGTTACCACCAGCAATCGCATCAATTGAGAGCTAGAGACGGGATTCTGGGGCCAGCTGGCCAGCAAGACTAGTCAGAAATGCTTAGCTCTGGGTTCAGGGAGGGACCCTGCCTCAATAACTAGAGAAGGACACCTGATATCAACTTCAGGTCTCCACATGCATGCACATATACCTCCTATATCATGCAAACTCCACATAGCACACACATTTACACATGTAATAAAATAAGATCAACTGTATTTTGGAACAACTTCTGGATGAAAGGAAGTATTTACAGACCACACATCTGAGCAGGGCAAAGGATTTGGAATATATATGAAGAAGGTTTGCAACTCATAAGAAAAAGACCAACAACCCAATCAGAAGGCAGGTGAAGGACTCAGCAGACATCCCCCAGGAGGATGCACATGATGCTACACAGATCTGAGTCAACACGGAAACCCAACCATACTGAGATGCCAATCAGGAAAGGCTACAGTCAGAAACAGAATAGAAACCACCAGTGCTGGCTGGGGAGACCTGAGGAAGGGGCGACCTGTGACATGCTGGTGCTCTCCAAGTACACAGGAGTGTGGCAGTTCTTCAAAAATGAAACAAAGACTGCTTTAGAAGGCCGTAGTTACCTTAGCACCTGGCGAGTACACAGAGGACTGTGGCCCAGACACATATATATGCACACGGGTGCCCACAGCAGCTGTTTACTACAGCTAATGAATGGAAATCACCAGGAAGTGGCTGCCGAGGGAACAGCACCGAGTGTGGAAGGAGAAATGGAGCAGGCCTAATAGCTTGGAGGGTCTCCCTAAGCAGAGAGACTTCCTTTCATGGGTACTTTCTGTTCCCCAAATAGTTCTGCCTGGCACACATCCCTTCTCAGGTCCCCTGGGCTATGCTAAGCTCCTAATAAAACAAGGGAGACAAATGACTAAACCCCATGCCGCAAGGGTGTAGCCTGAGAGTTGAGGCTTTTCCTCCTGTAAGTATGGGGACCACAGGCTCAGCCAGCACCCTGCTGTCCCTTGAGCTAGGCTCCCTGCCTCCCAGTCCTCCCACAGGCAGGCTCTTACCGGTGGTACCTTTGTGGCAGAGCCTGGGGTCAGGGGCTCTTCATCTCTGGATGGTGATGGGCCATTGGACTCCATGTCCCTCCCTGGAAGACAATGGGTAAGCAGGACTTCTCACAAAGTGCTCTGAAGGCTGCCTGGGAGGGGCAGGAAGCCACTAGAGTGGTGTGGCCCTGAGAGGTAGAATGAGCTTCAGTAAAGGGTTCCAGAGGCTCTGGCCAGGCCCTCACAACCACAGAGAGGAAACCACAGGGGAGGAGCTGGCAGAAACAAGGACAGCTGGGCCAGTGGGGTGTGACTTAGGCCCTTGGATCACCAAGGAAGCATGGCACCCAGGTTCAGAGGCACACCGGTTCAAAACACAGGACTCTGGTAGTCCCGTAGTCTTGCTCCAGATTAGTTGAAGAGGTAGGAGGGAAGCTTGGCACCTGGATCCCTGCCCTGCCGCCCTGTACTCTGCAGCTTGAGGGAGAGAGATGATGGTGGGGTGGCCTGAAGCCAGCCATGGGTGTGATTTGGCTACTGTCAAATCACTGCCTGGGGGAGGTAGGTTTATAACAGAGGCCATGAGTCAGTGATGGAGTGAAACTCTTCCTGAAGCCACAGGCCAGGGATAGGTAGGGCACAGCTGGACAATGGGGATAGTCTCTCCAGAAAGGCCAGGACAGTGACCTGAGGAAGTAGTTCTCCCCACCGGTCAGAGAGCAGTAGCCAATTGAAGTCACCTAACATCCCAGTCTGGCACAGTGACTGAGCCCCAGGAGCGCCTACTCTCTGCCCATACAGTCCGTGACTCAGGCCTTGGTGACGGGGAGGCAGCTGTCTACTCTCACATGTGGGAAGATGCATCCTGGGTGGGGAGGGGTAATGCTCCAAGCACCCAAGAGGACAGAGGTGTCACATCATGTCAGTGCAAACAGCCCAGCACGGGCTCTTCTCTTTGCTGCCATACATATCCTGTCCACACCCCTGCTCCTGGGACCTGTCACCTCTTGCATTCCTTGAGGAGGGCCTGGCGCCTCCCAGTCCTACCCTGCCTAGTCAGTTGTTCCAAGTCTCCAGAAACTGACTGGGGCTTGTCACTCCTCCCTCTCCTTCCTTCCTCCCCACAGGGACCTACTCTTCCTCTCCCCCCCTCCCTGTTCCTGCAGCAGAGGTGAATAAGAGCTTCGGGTTACATCCTAGGCATCAACCTTCCTTGTATCCCAGTGACTGTCCAGAGTGCCCTCTCCACTCTGGGCCTCAGTTTCCCCTTCTGGTGGCTGGGATTGTTGATGGCATGACGCTTAGCTCTCCTTCCCCATCATGACCTTCTGCCTGCCCCAAGAGAGGGCCTGTGTCTCTTCCTCACTCTGCATCCAGCAGAGGGGGGTGGAAAAGGGAAGAGGGGAGGGGAGGGCAGGAGTCCTCTAGAGCAGTGCAATCCCACCTCCCACTCCTTAGGGACTCCGGAAAGGAAGGGTTAGGTCCTCTAAGGCTACCTGTCACCCACAGGGTAGAGAGAGCTTAGCTCAGACTCGGCTATGGGTTGACGGGCATGGAAGCCATAGGTCCAGCTGCCATGAAAACATTCTTTTGTGGTGGGGTCCACATTCCAGGACCCAGAACTTTATCCACAAGTGGTATGTTCCCTCCCAGGGCTTAGGACCTCTTGGAAGTGGGACATTGGTACTGATGTTGTATCCATTTTCTAAATGAGTAAACTGAGACCCAATAACAGGTCTGTGGGCTCCCGGCCAGGACAGTAGGGCTGGGGTCAGGTGCCTGTCCCCACAGCCAATATTTGATATAACTGCCCTTTGCCATCCCTAAGTTAGTCCCTTGCCAGCCAACTTGGTCCTTCAGGGTGAACTGTGAACTGTGAACCCTTTGTGTGGGGAGTCACTCTCACTGGCCCTGAAGGTACTGGAGGAGTGGGATACTGGCTGGGCTGTCACAACTGCAGAGTCAGGAGGACCCCAGCTGCCCATGGCCTGCACCAACCTGGGGTGATGGGACCAAGCTCATTTTCGCAGCCCAGAAGCAGGTTCCGTGGGAGTTTCCGGGGGTCAGTCTTCTGTGGAGTAGAAGCTGGTGGACAGAGCGAGAAGCGGCGCCGGAGAAAGGCCTCCTCCTTCATGACGTGGGTACTGGGGGGCTTCTGAAAGGAAGAAGAGGAGGGGCATGTGGTCAGGCCTCACCTGAGGCCAGGGGGAGTGCCCACAGAGAGTCAAGAGAGGACAGACCAGGTGGCCCCAAAGTGTCAGGAGGCCAGCTAGCAGCAGGCACTAGAAGGAGGTTAGGGTGTCCCTGGGCCTGCTTGTTCCATCTTAGGACACATGAGATTTGTGCCCCTGTCTGAGTGTCTCTGGTCTTGTTTGGGTCCCTGGACTCAAAGTCCTGAACAAGGTGAGAAGGTGCAGGTGTGCTCTGACAGGTTCATACCAGCCCAAGACGTCACCTACCTGCTAGAAACAGCCCTGGGAACAGGAGAGGCCACAGAGGAGGAACCACAGCCAGCCACTCCCACACTCTCGGCCACTGCAATGTCTTCAGCAGATCACAGGCCCCCACAGCCTCACCCTAAACATGGCCTGCCAGCTGAGAACAGCTGATCAGCCGCCTCCCAAGCATTTCCCTGTTGACGGAACAGAACTCATCCGATCTCCACTAGTCCTATGAGAAAAATCACCTGACCAGCTTTCAGACCATCGACCAGCTTTCCCTTTTGTCCAGCTCTTTAGGGACATGGCCTCAGCCTCCATAGGTGGTCAATGGCTCCCCAAAGAACCAGCTTTAGCCTCCCTTTTTTCAATGGCTTGATCCCAAATACACACAGCCTTTCCTGCTGGACTTGGGGACCAGGTGGGGTTTCAGGAATGGGCAGGGTATCTAGGGTGTCAATGGTCCCAGAGGTTTCTCTCCACACCCCAAAGCCCCTGTGGCCCTTGCCCACTTCTCTATTCAGCTAAGATTCCCAGACACCTGGGTTGTGCCAGGCCCAGGGCAAGCCGGGCTCTTAGGGACCCACAGGAGGCAAGAGGGCCATCCCTGGCAACAATGACGAAGGGTGTTGACGTAGTTGGTTTGCCCTCTCTGGAGCTTCACTTTTTTGGGTTGGGTTTTTTTTTTTTTTTTTTTTTTTTTTTTTTTTTTTTGGAAACAGGGTTTCTCTGTGTAATTTTGGTGCGTGTCCTGGATCTCACTCTGTAGACCAGGCTGGCCTTGAACTCACAGAGATCTGCCTGGCTCTGCCTCCTGAGTGCTGGGATTAAAGGCATGTGCCACCACCACCCAGCGAGCTTCACTTTCTTTAGGGATTGAGTAACACAGGCTTGGGGCAGGGTTAACAGCTTACTCTCAGCTGACCCATCAGGCCATCTGCCCACCTGCAGGAAGTGTGGTCAGGAAAGGATGTGTGTAAGTGACTAGAGGGACTCCTCAGAAAGTGCACCCCATTGCTCACTCATGTACATACTATCCTGTCTTCCCCACTTCCCTCCTCACTTACCCATCAGTCTGTCCACCCTTCTCTCCCTCTAACCATCCATTACTCACCTACCTATCCATGTATCCATGTGCCATTCGCCCATTCATCAATGTGTCCATGCATCATCCACCCATCCATCCATCCATCCATCCATCCATCCATCCATCCATGTACCCATGCATCCATCCATCCATCCATGTATCCATCCATCCATCCATCTATCCATCCATCCATCCATCCATGCATCCATTCATCCATCCATGTATCCATGCACTCATCCATCCTCTTATCTACTTATCCCTCACCATCTACCCTCTCATTCTTTCTTCTTCGCTCCCTATATCTTTCCAGTCAGTCAGCTGACCAGCCTGGTTTCCACTTCCTTCTCATTCACCCTACACTCAGACACACGAAGTGGGAGGGGCAGCGACTACCCTTCCAGCATGAACGGACACCCCGCCCCTGCACCCCCAGTACAATTCAGGTGCACACCAGGAGCCAAGGGCTCTATAGTGATGCCTACAGGCCAGTGGTGGCCCAGCAGCTTCCTTCGACCTGCTCAGCAGGAGGCTTCAGCTCTGCAGAGCTACCCTGAAGTCCTGACTCCCATCCTTTGTGCCCTGCCTGCTGTCTGAAGGTCACTGTCACAGACTAGGTATGTGGGGCGGGGTTGTGCATCTCACAAGCCAGCCAGGTCCCCCGGTCCCAAGCTCTGCCCACCTTGTGCCGCTGGCCCTTGTTCTCCAGTCCTTTAGCCTCCTGGGCTCCAGTCCTGACAAATGCTGAGCTCAAGCCTGCTGAAGGACCTCTGCATGGCTCTGCTCTGCTCCCTCTGTGTCCCCACCCCTATTGCGCAGGCTGGGTTTTGTCACATTCCACTCAGAAGAGTGTCCTCTGCGTGACCACTCTTTGGCTGCACTACACACATTCTCTGCATAGCACTGGCGGCTCCTAGACACCCTCCCTGGCAGTTCTTTACTGTTAAAACTCTCGGGCAGGAGAGATGGCTCAGTTGATTTAAAAAAAAAAAAATGATTGCTAGACAAGCAAGAGGGCTGGAGCTCAATCCTCAGAACCTGTGATCCCAGTGCTGGGGAGGCAGAGGCATGTGGATCCCTGAGACTGGCTGGCCAGCCCGTCCATCTCTAAGGCCCCAAGCTAGTGAGAGACCCTGCCTGAACAATCCACGGCAGACGGCTCTGAGCAACTGCACCTGGGGTGCACACACAGACGCACGCAGGTGGACCCTATGCTTAAAGGTGCGTTCTCTCTGGTTCCGTCTTGCCCACCATGGGATCCCACCACCCAGGGCAGCAACAAGTGAGGAAGGTCCTGAGTGGGGACCTAGGGATGTGGGGCTATAGATGATGCTGGCTGAAAGTGTCGGAGTAAAGCTGGGCTCCCTGGACAAGGGTGCCTCCTACGCTGGGCCCACCAAGCCTCCAGCTCAGGGAGGCGCTTTAGAGAGGTGACCAAGGCAAGGCCTGCTGTCCACAGTAACCATCAAAGTCACTCTTTCTAGCTAGCAGCTAGGTATAAGGGGCAGCATCTGTAGAGTGCTTGGAATGGCTGAGGAATGGCGTGGGAGGCAGAGACCATCCCACATACCGAGGGCCAAGCTGGGGCCTGTCAGTCTGCACTGGCCCAATGTTCAACAGAAGTTCTATGTTGACAGGTCCTGGGAGCTCAACTCCCATGTATGCCCACCCATGAGAGCTTCAGGGGAGGAGAGGGACTAGAAAGAAGAGAGGAGGTAGAAGAAAGGAAGAATGGATGAGGAAATGGAATGCTGGCTGCAGCAGCAGAGTCCTGGGTCCTCTGAGTGACTCAGGAGGGCTGTGTTGCCCACCTGTGGCCCATGTGGCCTACCAGGAGGTCTCCTGGACTTTAACTCTAAATATCAAGGTCCAGCCAGATGCTAGCTCCTGAATTCTGCTTACCCAAGGCCACTAGAAGTCAAAGTGTGCTTACCCAACTATTCTCTGTGACCCAATCAGCAATGCCGCCTTTCAGACCTCATAGCTACTCAATGCCATCTGAACACAGCTGGTCCTTGCCCACAGTTTCCAAAGAGCTCCCTGCTGCAGACGATGCCATTTCTATGTTTAGCTGTGTTTTCCTCTTGCCCTCATGATCCTGAAGTCCAAGTACATGGGGGAGCCCTGTGGGACCTGAGAAGAAAGAACCCAAGGCAAGCATACAACATAGCTGCTTGTGCTTGGGTTCATGGGGTGGAAGTCTAGGGTGGTACCATTTCTGCCCAGGAGGGACCTAGCCTAGAGACCCTGATCCTCTGAGGTGGGATCACACAGAAGACCAGGCCATGAGGCAGAGGACAGAGCTGTGGCTAGGGAATGGAGTGATAGGCATATACGGCCAGCATCACCCAGTTCTGGCCCAGACCTTGGAAGAGAAGTTTTTGCAAGACAGGAACACAAGAAATCCCAACAGATCAAGGGAAGGCTGGGGAGACTTCTCCTTGTATAGTCTAAGCCAGTCACCTCCAGAATTAAGGCCATAACCCCTGACTATGCGGTAAAGTGTGGTCCTGGTAGGCTTATTGGGCAGGCAGGAGTGGAACCCACCAGCCGGCACCCCTGCTTTGGGAGTGAAAGCTTTAATGCAGCTTGGGGTAGACCTTGTGACTACCACAGACTGCCTGTGTTCAGTGTCAGCCAGACCCACTCTTTAGGCTACGAAGGCTGCAGACAAAGCATGGCCACCTGTCTTCCTCCTGCTGGTTCTGACAGAGTGGCTCTGGCCTGGCCATCCAGCTAACCTTCTCTTTGCTCTGACTGTATTAGAGACCACACACAGTAGGGACATACAGCCTTCAGAAAGGGGCATTTTGAACTTGGCTTCAGAGCACAGACATGTGACTCTTAGAAGGACAATGTTCTGAGTCGAGAGGATGGGCTGGACATGCCTGGAACTCTGTGATTTGATGGGAGTACGAGAGAGGGGTGGGGTGGGGATTGGAGTGGACTCCTGACTCACAGGGACAGTGTGGGTATCGTGATGCCCAGGCAGGGCCTGCTTGCTGGCAGAGCTCATGGAAAGGTGAGGGTGGGCCTGTAGGCTCTGCTCTGAGTGTTGCTAGTCTAGGGGTAGGTAGAGGAGGAGAAAGGGGGAGCCACCATATCCACCCCAGTTGGTTGATGGCCTTTCTTCTCTCCACCCAGGTAGCTGAGGTGTGCCTCTGCCTCCACAGGGCCATCTGTGGGACTCTTCTCCTTCCTTAGAGAATTAGCTCTTCCATAGAATGTTTCCTCGGGCTGCTGTTCAGGTACCCATGTTTTCCTACAGTCTGTATGGGATCTGTGCTATGCCATATTGGGCTTGTGTAAGGAGCTCATTCTCTGCTCACTTGACCCCTCAAGCTCTGCTGTGCTCCATGGGCTAGGTAGACACATGGCTAATGTAGTACTTCTGCAGAGAATTAGCTCATGGTGCAAACTGGGCTCAGGAGGAGCTGGAGTTGCTAACTCTACAGAAGGCTCCTGAAGGGCTCTAGCAGGTCATCAGACCCATCCCTGAGGCCGTGGGAAGTGACTCCTCTTGCAGCTCTTCCTGATAAAGCAGTGGCTGCCCAGCCAGAACAGGGATAGACACACACCCCTGAGACCCCGACCACCTGTTCCAGACGCTTTCTGGATCCCTCCCTATCAGTA